TGCCTCTCACACAACAGGCTCTTTCCCACCTGAGAAGTCCCGCCGAAGAGTCGTTGGATGTTTCTCTCCAGCTGTTAGATGTTTGCGCGAATGTGAGAGAAGCTTTCTCACAGATGAAGGAATGTGTCCAGGTGCTCAAGTTTTCTATCCGAAGAAGGAAAAGAGGAGATTCCAGCTTCTCCTTTGAAGTAGAAGCATACATCAACTCTAGAAAGAAGTTGAACAAAGTCATCACCAAGCACTTGAGAAATTTGAAGAAGAAAGGCCCTAAGAAGGCCTCTCTCAATGAAGCTACCCTTAGCGTACTAACTGAAGCTGGAAAAATCAGTCTTTCTGTATTCGGGTCCCTCTTAGGTTTCCTTGCTCTGACAAGTGCAAGCACGAATCCTAGAGGCTGGTCTCTAGTGTCAAAACTGCTGGAAGCTAAACGCATTTCATGTGATGGAGGAGAGGAAACCAATGAAGTGCAAGGCTTGGACGCCCTGTTGCTCTCCCTCAGATTGAGCAAAGACATCAATAATCAAGCAGGCGATCTGTCAAAGCGGTTGGAGGAACTAGAGCTAAGCATTCAAGAAATTGAGGATGACTTGGAATGCATGTTCAGGCGCCTAGTGAAATTGAGGGTTTCCCTTCTCAACATTGTTAACCACTAGAAAACCGTACTCTCTAGGGATGCCCATTTGATAATAGCATCAATAGTACAATTTTTTGTAGCTTGCACAATACAGCATTTTGTCATTAGAGATCCACAATCAATATATACATCAACACCTTCAGATCTAAAGATCTCTCCTAATTCTCTCTTCCAGTACTTCCCATAATGATGCTGTATCTTGACACAAGTTTTCAGCTTGATAGTGACTGTCTGAATTATATATGTGACTCAGGAAAATGAAAATGAACTACTGTCATCATCTGTAGAGCGTGGAGGATAACAAAAATCTGATTGCTCCGCTAGCATCTATGAGCTATAGCATGACGGACTGATGTGGCAGAAGTTTCTTTTCCCCTGGAGTTTAAACATGTATTCTCTAGTGAATATATGCATCAATACCTTCAGATCTAAAGATCTCTCCTAATTCTCTCTCCTAGTATTTTACATGATGATTCTGTTTCTTGACACAAGTTTTCAGCTTGATAGTGTCGATCTGAATTATATATGTGAGTCAGGAAAAAGAAAATGGATTACTGTCATCATCAGTGGAGTTTGGAGGATGACAAAAATTTGATTGCTTCTTTAGCATCTATGATCTATAGCATCACAGACCGATGTCGCAGAACTTTCTTTTCCTCTGGAGTATAAACATGTATTCTTTTGTGAAATTAGATTCTGGCTTCTAAGCTTTTGGATCTAAATGTTATATTTAGATGTGAAATATAAAATTGATAACAATGAAATGGAAACGGCACCAAAGATTAGATTTTTTCATATTTGGCTACAGATCGGTTTTTTAGCTGGTCAGATGCTTCGGAAAATGATTTATGGAAGCATAGTATGCATCTCATTCTCAGCCCCGCATATGCTGCTGGTCCTGCTTTTGAGTCTGCAGTATTCTAGACCAAGTCACAGAAAGTTGCTGAATTAGGCAATATGTACATCTCTGGCTAGTTCCATTTTAATGTCCAGGAAATATAAGCGTTGAACCCATTCTTAGTTTCTCAATATTCATCAGATTATATTTGATGTCTAGGGTGTTTAAGGTCCTGTAACTTGCAGTTTTCAAAAGCTAAATGAATGCACATTAACAATTGAGAACCCCAGCTTCTTACCAAAAGTTCTTCTCGGAGTCGCCTAAACTAGTCCTTTTTATCGTTTCTGAAGAGATGCCAATAAAATTAGTCGGCCACATGATAGATGATGATAGCAGATACCAACAGGTTAGTTAGAAGCTGCAATGCTGCAAAACTTCCGTTTGTCCCCAAGCTCCATTATCACATGATTTGTTGCCATCCACATCCTCAACTTCAATTTTAAACTACGAATGATTTCCATTGCCATCCTCCTGTCTGAGACCTTGGAGGCAAGCTGCACGTATGTGTGAATATTCAAGCATATTATGTCTAATTTGTTTTTGGAGACCAAGAACCTGGAGGAGACATTGCCGGGAGGTTTTTGGATGAACTCTAACATGGGTATGGCATAATCTCCACGATGTAAATATTCCACTTGTCTCCTAGCTCTACCATCACATGAATATTTTCTAGCCCACATGCTCAAGTTCAGCGATTAATGATGCATAATATCATGGTCCCCCCTCTGTCCGAGAATCTCAAGGCAAACTACACTCGTGTATGAGTTTGTTTAAAGCTTTAGATCACTATTATTGATACTCCTTTCGTATGGATTGGAAAACCAGTGGAGGCATTGTCAGGAGACTGTTGGAAGATCCACGACATGACAGCTAATGCGAGCCCGCAAGAATGGGATTGTTGAGTGCATCTTGCTCGGTATAAATATATAAGGATTTGGGTGGCCTGGCATGAACAACTTCATATGAAAAATTACATCCAGAGAAGTTAATAAGCTTCCTTCTCACAAAGATGGCTTCATCAATTGAGACCTCGAAAATTAGGAGCCATTTCCGATCAATCAGCTTGCCTTCTAGGAGCCACCCTCTCACGACCACAGTAGAGGAGCAATTGTCTAGGCTCAGATCATCGGAAGCAGTGTCCTCATCCTCATTGGTATCTCAAAGTTTGGGAGAACTCAAGAGCTTGTATGATTGCATCGATGACTTGCTTCAGTTGCCTCTCCCACAACAGGTTCTTTCCCACCTGAGAAGTCCCTCTGAAGAGTTGTTGGATGTTTCTCTCCAGCTGTTAGATGTTTGCGCGAATGTGAGAGAATCTTTCTCACAGATGACGGAATGTGTCCAGGAACTCAAGTTTTCTGTCCGAAGAAGGAAAAGAGGAGATTCCAGCTTCCCCTTAGAAGTAGAAGCATACATCAACTCTAGAAAAAAGTTGAACAAAGTCATTACCAAGTACTTGAGAAATTTGAAGAAGAAAGGCCCTAAGAAGGCCTCTCTCAATGAAGCTACCCTTAGTGTACTAACTGAAGCTGGAGAAATCAGTCTTTCTGTATTCGGGTCCCTCTTAGGTTTCCTTGCTCTGACAAGTGCAAGCACGAAGCCTAGAGGCTGGTCTCTAGTGTCAAAACTGCTGGAAGCCAAACGCATTTCATGTGACGGAGGAGAGGAAACCAATGAAGTGCAAGGCTTGGACGCCCTGTTGCTCTCCCTCAGATCGAGTAAAGACATCAATAATCAAGCAGGCAATCTGTCAAAGCGATTGGAGGAACTAGAGCCGAGCATTCAAGAAATTGAGGATGACTTGGAATGCATTTTCAGGCGCCTAGTGAAATTGAGGGTTTCCCTTCTCAACATTGTCAACCACTAGAAAACCGTAGTCTCTAGGGATGCCAATATGACAACGGCAACTATAGTACAATTTTTTTTATCTTGTACAATACGGGATTGTGTCATTTGAGATCCACAATCAATATATCCATCAACACATTCAGATCTAAAGATCTTTCCTAATTCTCTCTCCCAGTTCCCATGATGATTCTGTTTGTTAACAATTGTTTCGGCTTGAAAGTGTCGATCTGAATTATATATGTGAGTCAGGAAAAAGAAAATAAATTACTGTCATCATTTGTGAAGTTTGGAGGAAAACAAAAATCTGAATTCTCCGATAGCATCTATGATCTATAGCACGACAGACTGTTGTGGCAGAAGTTTCTTTACCTCTGGAGTTTAAACATGTATTCTCTCGTGAAATTAGATTCTTCCTTCTAAGTTTTTGCTTTTAAATGTCATATATAGATACGAAACTTACAATAAAAAACAACAAAATGAAAACGGCACCAAAGATTAGATTTTTTTTTATATTTGGCTACAGATCGGTTTTTAAGCAGGTTAAGTGCTTCAGAAAATGCTTTTATGGAAGCATATTATACATCTATCTCATTCTCAGCCATGCTTATGCTGCTGGTCCTGCTTTTGAGTCTACAGTATCCTAAACCAAGTCACAGAAAATTGCTGGATTAGGCATTATATGCATCTCTGGCTAGTTCTGTTTTAATGTCCAAGAAATATAATCATCGAACCCTTTCTTAGTTTGTCGATAGTCATCAGATTATATTTGATTTCAACGATGATTGATGTCCTGTAACTTGCGGTTTTCAAAAGCTACATGAATGCACATTAACACGTGAGAACCCCAACTTCTTAGTGAAAGTTCTTCTCGGAGTCGCCTAAACTAGTCCTTATTATCACTTCTGAAGAGATGCCAACAATTTGTGAGCCTCATGAATAGATGATGATAGCAATAACTATTACTTAGTTAGAAGCTCCAATGCTGTAAAGATTCCGTTTGTCCCGAAGCTCCATTATCATATGAATTGTTGCCATCCACATGCTCAACTTCAATTTTAAAGTATGAATGATTTCCATTACCATCCTCCTGTCTGAGATGTTGGAAGCAAGCTGCACGTATATGTGATTATTCAAAGCATATTAAATCTATTTTCTTTTAGAGCAATAATCCGAAGGAGACATCGAAGGGAGGTTTTTGGACGAACTCTAACATGTGTAATGCTTAAACTGCACGATGTAAAGATTCCGCTTGTCTCCTAGCTCTACCATCAAATAAAAATTTTCAAGCCTACATGCTCAGGTTCAGCAATTAATGATGCATAATAGCATGGTCGCTCCTCTGTCTGAGAATCTCAAGGCAAACTAAGCTCGTGTATGAGTTTTTTTAAAGCTTTAGATTGCTATTATTCCTTTCGTATATAATGGAAGACCAGCGGAGGCGTTGTCAGGAGGCTGTTGGAAGATCCATGACATGACAGCTAATGCGAGCCCGCAAGAATGGGATTGTTGAGTGCATCTTGCTGGGTATAAATATACAAGGATTTGGGTGGCCTGGCTTGAACAACTCCCTGATAGGAAAATTTACATCCAGAGAAGTTAATAAGCTTCCTTGTCTCAAAGATGGCTTCATCAATTGAGACCTTGAAAATGAGCAGCCATTTCCGATCAATCAGCTTGCCTTCTAGGAGCCACCCTCTCACAACCACTGTAGAGGAGCATTTGTCTAGGCTCAGATCATCGCAAACAGTGTCCTGTTCCTCATCAGCATCCCAAAGTTTGGGAGAACTCGAGAACTTGTATGATTGCATCGATGACTTGCTTCAGTTGCCTCTCACACAACAGGTTCTTTCCCACTTGAGAAGTCTTGCCGAAGAGTCGTTGGATGTTTCTCTCCAGCTGTTAGATGTTTGCGTGAATGTGAGAGAAGCTTTCTCACAGATGAAGGAATGTGTCCAGGAGCTCAAGTCTTCTTTCAGAAGAAAGAAAAGAGGAGATTCCAGCTTCTACTTTGAAGTAGAAGCATACATCAACTCTAGAAAGAAGTTGAACAAATTAATCACCAAGTACTTGAGAAATTTGAAGAAGAAAGGCCCTAAGAAGGGCTCTCTCAATGAAGCTACCTTTAGCGTACTAACTGAAGCTGGAGAAATCAGTCTTTCTGTATTTGGGTCCCTCTTAGGTTTCCTTGCTGTGACATGTGCGAGCACGAAGCCTAGAGGCTGGTCTAGAGTGTCAAAACTGCTGGAAGCTAAAAGCGTATCATGCGACGGAGGAGAGGAAACCAATGAAGTGCAAGGCTTGGACGCCCTGTTGCTCTCCCTCAGATCGAGCAAAGACATCAATAATCAAGCAGGCAATCTGTCAAAGCGATTGGAGGAACTAGAGCCGAGCATTCAAGAAATTGAGGATGACTTGGAATGCATTTTCAGGCGTCTAGTGAAATTGAGGGTTTCCCTTCTCAACATTGTTAACCACTAGAAAATCGTAGTCTCTAGGGATGCCAATTCGACAACGGCATCTATAGTACAATTTTTTGTAACTTGTACAATACAGAATTGTGTCATTCGAGATGCACCATCGATATATATATCAACACCTTCAGTTCTAAAGATCTTTCCTAATTCTCTCTCCCAGCATTTCCCATGATGATCTGTTCTTGACACATGTTTTCGGCTTTAAAGTGTCGATCTGAATGACTGTCATCATTCCTGGAGTTTGCAGGATAACAAAAATCTGATTGCTCTGCTAGCATCTATGAGCTATATAGTATGACAGACTGATGTGGCAAAGCTTTCTTTTCCTCTGAAATTTAAATATGTATTCTTTTGTGAAATTTAATTCTTCCTTCTAAGCTTTTGCATCTAAATGTTATATTTAGATGCGAGACTTACAATCAATAACAACGAAATGGAAACGGCACCAAAGATTACTTTTTTTATATTTGGCTTCAGATTGGTTTTTCAGCAGGTCACGTGCTTCGGCAAATGATTTTCTGGAAGCATGGTATGCGTCTATCTCATTCTCAGCCATGCATATGCTGCTGGTCCTGCTTTTGAGTCTGCAGCATCCTCAACCGGTCCTGCTTTTGAGTCTGCAGCATCCTCAACCAAGTCACAGAAAATTGCTGGATTAGGCAATAGATACATATCTGGCTAGTTCTATTTTGATGTCCAGGAAATATGGGTGTTTGAATCCATCTTAATTTGTTGATAGTCATCAGATTATATTTGATTTCAACGATGATTGATGTTCTGTAATTTGCGGTTTTCAAAAGCTAAATGAATGCACATTAACAATTGAGAACCCCAGCTTCTTACTGAAAGTTCTTCTCGGAGTCGCCTAAACTAGTCCTTATTATCACTTCTGAAGACATGCCAATAAAATTACTCAGCCTCATGAATAGATGATGACAGCAGATAACAACTAGTTAGTCAGAAGCTGCAATGCTGTTAAGATTCCGTTTGTCCCCAAGCTCCATTATCATATTATTTGTTGCCATCCACATGCTCAACTTCAATTTTTAAGTATGAATGATTTCCATTGCCATCCTCCTGTCTGAGACCTTGGAAGCAAGCTGCACGTATGTGTGATAATTCAAAGCATATTAAACATAATTTCTTTTGGAGACCAAGAACCCAAAGGAGACATTGAAGGGAGGTTTTTGGATGAACTCTAACATGTGTAATGCATAAACTCCACGATGTAAATAGTCCACTTGTCTCCTAGCTCTACCTTCACATGAATATTTTCTAGCCCACATGCTCAAGTTCAGCAATTAATGATGCATAATAGCATGGTCGCCCCTCTGTCTGAGAATCTCAAGGCAAACTACACTCGTGTATGAGTTTGTTTAAAGCTTTAGATCGCTATTGATTGTCCTTTCGTATTGATTGGAATTCCAGCGGAGGCAATGTCGGGAGGCTGTTGTAAGATCCATGACAAGACAGCTAATGAAAACCCGCAAGAATGGGATTGTTGAGTGCATCTTGCTGGGTATAAATATACAAGGATTTGGGGGGCCAGGCATGAACAACTCCCTCATAGGAAAAATTACATCCAGAGAAGTTAATACACTTCCTTCTCACAAAGATGGCTTCATCAATTGAGACCTCAAAACTTAGCAGCCATTTCCGATCAATCAGCTTGCCTTCTAGGAGCCACCCTCTAACGACAACCGCAGAGGAGCATTTTTCTAGGCTCAGATCCTCGGAAGTGGTGTCCTCTTCCTCATCATAACGGTGTACCTAATTTCATGCTATATTGACTTGGTCAGATAGATGAAAGGAGTCTCATTCATATGCTTTAACAACAAATGGTTCCTGGGTCAGTTATTTTGTTTCTCTCAATAATGCTATCTCAGCTCAGAGGAAATGGAAAATGAACTGGTGTCATCGTCTGTGGAGTTTTGAGAATAATAAAAAGCCGATTCCTCCTCCAGCATCTGTGATCTATAGCATGACTGACTGATGTGGCAGAACATTCTTTTCCTCTGGAGTTTAAACATATAATCTTTAGTGAAATTAGATTCTTCCTTCTTAAGATTATGTCACCTAAATGTTAAATTTAGATGTGCAACTTACAATCAATAAAAACGAAATCGAAACTGCAACAAAGATCACATTTCTATTTTTTTTGCTACAGACAAGTTTTTAAGAAGTTACATGCTTCAGAAAAAACTTTCATGGGAAGTATAACATGCATCAATCTCGTTCTCAGCTATACATATGCTGCTGGTCCTGCTTTAAAGTCTGCTGCATTCTAGACCATATTTGGCTAGTTCTATTTTAAAGTACAGGAATATAAGCGTCGGACAACCAATCTTGCTTGGTCAATAGTCATCAGATTATATATGATTTATAGGACGATGAACTTACTGTAATCTGTGGCCCTCAATATTCTTTAAATAGATAGCTAAAGGAATGCACATTAACAATTGAGAACCCCAGCTTCATAATGAAAGTTCTTCTCGGAGTTGCCTAAACTTAGTCCTTATTATTACTTCTAAAGAGAGGCCAATAATCAGTCAATCTCATGAATAGATGACGATAATAAATAACTTCAAGTCAGTCCCAAGCGCCAATGCTGTAAAGATTCCATTTGTCCCCTAGCTACATTATTACATGAATTTTTGCCATCCACATGCTCAACTTCAATTTAAATCATGCATGATTGCATTACCATCCTTCTGTCTTAGATCATGGTCGCAAGCTGCAGCTATGTATGATTATTTAAAGCATTTTAATTCAAATTCTTTTTAGACCAAGAACCCGAAGGAGACATTGACGGGAGGTTTTTGGATGAACTGCAACATGTGAAATGCATGAACTCCACGATGTAAAGATTCCACTTGTCTCCTAGCTCTACCATCACATGAATAATTTTCTTGCCCTCATGCTCAAGTTCAGCCATTAATGATGCATAATAGCATGGTCGCCCCTCTGTCTGAGAATTTCCAAGGCACACTACACGCGTGTATGAGTTTTTTTAAAGCTTTAGATCACTATTATTGATTCTCGTTTTGTGGAGATTGGAAAACCAGCGGAGGCATTGTCAGGAGGCTGTTGGAAGATCCATGACATGACAACTGATGTGAGCACTCAAGAATCGGATTGTTAAGTGCCCCTTGCTCAGTATAAATATACAAGGATTTGGCTGGCCTGGCTCGAACAACTCTCTCATAGGAAAAACTACATCCATAGAAGTTAATAAGCTTCCTTCTCTCAAAGATGGCTTCATCAATTGAGACCTCCAAATTTAGCAGCCATTTCCGGTCAATTAGCTTACCTTCTAGGAGCCACCCTCTCACAACCACCGTAGAGGAGCATTTGTCTAGGCTCAGATAATCGGAAGCAGCGTCCTCATCCTCATTGGCATCCAAAAAATTGGGACAACTCAAGAGTTTGTATGATTGCATCGATGACTTGCTTGAGTTGGCTCTCTCTACACAGGCTCTTTCCCACCTGAGAAGTCCAGCCGAAGAGTCGTTGGATGGTTCTCTCAAGCTGTTAGATGTTTGTGTATATGTGAGAGAAGCTTTCTCACAGATGAAGGAATGTGTCCAGGAACTCAACCCTTCTTTCCAAAGAAGGAAAAGAGGAGATTCCAGCTTCGCCTGTGAAGTAGAAGCATACATCAACTCTAGAAAGAGGTTGAACAAAGTCATCACCAAGTACTTGAGAACTTTGAAGAAGAAAGGCCCGAACAAGGACTCTCACAATGAAGCTACCCTTACCATACTAAGAGAAGCTGAAGAAATCAGCCTTTCTGTATTCCAGTCCCTCTTAGGTTTCCTTGCTCTGACAAGTGCAACCACAAAGCCTAGAGGCTGGTCTCTAGTGTCAAAATTGCTGGAAGCAAAACGGGAGGAGAGGAAACCAATGAAGTGCAAGGGTTGGACGCTGCATTGCTATTCCTCAGATCGAGCAAGGACATCAATAATCAAGTGGGTGATCTGCCAAAGCGATTGGAGACGCTAGAGTCGAGCATTCAAGAAACTGAGGAGGACTTGGAATGCATTTTCAGGTGCCTAGTGAAATTGAGGGTTTCCCTTCTCAACATTATTAACCACTAGAATACCTTAGTCCCCGGGGATGCCGATGTGACAATGTCATCTATGGTACAATTTTTGTAACTTGTACAATACGGCATTGCATCATATGAGATCCACAATCAATAGATACATCAACGCCTTCAGAAATAAAGATCTATCCTATTTCTTTCTTCCCCCACTTCACATAATGATTCTGTTTCTTGATTTAGTTTGATAGTAATTATCTGAATTTTCCATATAATTCAAGTTCGATTAATGAAGTTTAAGAATTGACACACAAAACATCTTAAATTGACTATCACCTGTGATGTTGTGAGTTCTTTACTTTTTCATGAAGAACGTACTTACGTACTTGAGGTCGCCATAACTGCGTACCAAATCAGGCTATATTTTTTTTTTGTCGAAAAATCAGGCTATGTTGACTCGGTCAGAAAGATGAATGCATTTCACAAATGTGAACCTCCAACAAATGGTTCTTGAGTCAGGTTTTTTGTCCCTCTCGATGATGCCACTGCAGCTCAGAGGAAATAGAAATTGAATAGGTGTCAACGTTTGTGGAGTTTGGAGATTGAAAAAAAAAACCTGATTGCTCCTCAGCCTCTATGAGCTATAGCATGACAGACAGATGTGGCAGAACTTTTTTTGTCCTCTGGAGTTTAAACAGTGGTTCTTTAGTTAAGTTAGATTCTTCCCTCTTTAGATTATGTCATCTAAGCATTAAATTTGGATGTGGAATTTACAATCCATACAGATGAAATTAAAACAGCAATAAAATTCAGATTTTTATTTTTTCTAAAGATCTGTTTTAAGCAGGTCTCATGCTTCAGAAAAGACTTTTAAGGAAGCATAGTATCCGTCGATCTCATGCTTGGTCATTCACACGCTACTGGTCTTGCTTTTAAGTCTGCAGAACTCTAGACCAAGTCCCAGATAATTGCTGGATTGGGCAATATACGTATCTATGTAAAGTGCATAACGAGATGTAAAGACACCAATACTTGAAGACCAAATACTTTTGACCCAATTGTGTTTTCACAATACAATCAAACAACTTTATTATCCAGGTGTTCCTTCTGACACATATAGCTACTGCAATTGCCTGTGTTTAAATCTGCGGCACCCCACACATGCTAAGTCCAAGACTTGGTCAAGCTCTGGTAGCTAATACCAATCCTTAGCCTATCATATAAATGACAGGAAAGAGATTGTAAGATACAAAAGTTCAACTTTAGATCTATCAGGTAGATGTTCTAGTGATTCTTCAAAAGCTTCTTTCATGAGAGGGGACTGAGTAGTTGGGTCCAAAAGACGGGACAAGCCACTCGTGCAAATCCAATACTCCATCAAAGGATGCTTCCTAGAATAGTCTGACTAGTTCATTGTCATCAATAAAAAGACTCTCAACCAATGGTCAACCTGATTTAGCAAACGAGGCAAAGAGATAACTTCAAAGAAGTTGCATAAGCTCAGTAGTCTCATAGCCAGGGGCCATTTGGAGCATAGTGACAATAGGAATAGAAGTCCACTTCTTCAAGCCGAAATAAATATTCAACTACAGGGTGGGACTCACAGTACAGAAACAATAGAATGCGGGGACCATCCAACCCTCAGTTTGATGAAGGAAAGCAATAGTAGCAATAAACGGGCAATCTCCTACACTATCCGCAAGTGCATTCACAAGTCTACGCAGAACATGTCTGACATAACCATTGTCCATAGAGAATTACTATTCAGTAACCATGACTAGCGATGATTATGTGTGGGAGCTGCAATGCAGCAGCAAATCAAGTAATAGATAAGACAGTCATTAAAAGAGGAACAAAAGTACAGTATGCTGTTGTGTAACTTGTGTTCATCCTTGTACAAAATCTATATGGTACTTCCGACCACAACTTTTGCACGAAACCAAGAACACCTAACCAATCAAGAAACGTCAGTTTCACTAGGGAATGGAATATTCACCCAAATTTCACTTTTGAATGCTTCTAAAGGTAGATAAAGCAAAAACTAACCATCTTACAGAAGAAAAAAAGAAAGGCAAACATGGACCACGGAAAAATCAATATCTCATTAACATCTTTGCTTGGTAGCTCCTTAAAGTTCGAGTGCCGACACAGGTATCATCTCAAGTCAAATCCTGAAGCAAACTCGTACAAGTATAATTTGATGAGGCTGCTTGTATATAGCCAACAAGGAGCACGAGCAGAACTATTCCTAAAACCAATTCACCAAACTCAACCCAAAAAATCAGCATTTCTCCCTTGAGTGACAGGAGCACTTCACTTACAATCCGTTTGCGCCAAGGCATATGTCTTGTATGATCCTTGCCAACATATTCGACTAGCCAAGAAGATAATGGATGAAGGCACAGCCTAAGATTTTCATCTTTATACAACTAAGTGAGCATGCATATTTTTCCGTAACCTGTCTACATGGACAAAGGAAGAAGCATCCTTCGCTTCTTTTTCCTAGCTGATCTTATTTTCTTCGCAATTTTCATGCATAAGAGCAGCAGCACTGTGAGGCATACCAAGATAAAAGCAAATCGGATTCGTCTAAAGTATAAAGAAACTGCTGAAAAAACTAAAAAAGCTAAAATGATGAGCTCCCATATGACAAAGACCACAACATCCACCCTGCATCCATAGAGAAAATTAGAGAGGGCATTAGTGAAGTCTTCCTAACAGTTACCACCAAACTTAGCACGCAAAACAGAAGTGCAAAAGGAAAAAAAAAAAAAGCTGAGAAATGCACAAAAGTTAAATGAACTATATATGAATGCTTGCAAACGAAAAAGCTATAAGTTATGGCATAGACGACAGAACTACCAACACTCCAGGTGCAATCAATCAGTCTTTTCAAGAATTAATAAAAAAAACCTAGGTTCCTGTATGAGACAAAGCACTTGAATCATCTTCAGGTTGCATACTCCATACAACAACTCCAAACAGCTCAATCCAAACTATTTCTACAAGCACAGCAAGGCAAAACTCAGCCAAATATCAATTCCAGCCGCATTATGGTGTCCATAAGAGGATCTGCATAATAATAGAGACCGGAAAACCCTCCTCTCCCAGTCCTACATAGTAAATGTCAGCATATGTTTGGGTTGGTCCAAGATTTTATTAGTCCATCTATCGCGTATCGCAGAGTATGAGGAGCTTGCATGGCATTTCAATGTTTGAGAAAGTTTTAAGTAATGAACTCATCATAGGGCTTACAAGAGCAACATATCTTTCGCATGAATTTTTCTAGTGGGTATGACTTGAGCATGTATCACTTACAACATGTGGCATCTTACCATATGTTCCGTTTTCCTCCGTATAGACTACCCTACGGCATCGCCTTATCGCGTGGCGGCGACAAATACAGTCCCTCGCGGTAATCAACAACTCACACTATCCATATAACCAATGATCCTGAACAGTTGACCAAGAACCACAAACGGGGCGACATTAGTCACAATGACCCTTCTTTCCACCAGTCGCATTAGCGTTCTTCGCCTGCTATCACAATCCAAAAGCCCCCTAATGAATACTAGTATCATCCGCTCTCCACTCCCCTCATCCTTCTCACCGCTACTTTCCCTAAAACGATACTAACCCTTCCCTAAAACTAAACCCTGCAACCCCTCTACACGAATTAGCAGAAATTACGAATCAAATACTTCACCCGACACGCACTCCCAGCCGTACACAAGCACAAGGAAGCCCGATTCAATTCGAAATTCGCCCGCGACATAAGACCTTCCCCCACTTTTCGCCGAGCACAAGGATCGATCGGGAGCATCCAGAAACCTAATCGGTCCAGCATAACTTCCAAACGGAATAAAAAAAAAACGAACTTTCTCTAAACATCGCGACCACCACCACCACCGCAACCATAAACTCCGCGAATCAAAGCCACGAATTCGAATACACGCGCAGTACCTGGACGAGGAGGAGGGGGTGGAAGTGGAGGAGAAGAAGGAGACGGTGGCCCAATTGTGCTTCGATCGAATCTGGTACTCCCTCAGCTGCTCCGCCAGATTCGATCGCGTGATCATGGCTGCCCTCCTGCTCTGCTGGTTCATGCGACGATGATCGGCGACGGCGCGGGATCGGTCGCCTTGCCTTTCAATCTCCTCGAGCTCGGGGACTCGGCAATGGCGGAGAATTCGGGGCTTGCATAGCGAAGCGGAGGAACGGTGCGACGAAGGGGAGAAATGGAGTCGGGGAGAGCATCGCCGATCGCGACAGATTGGCGTGGGGTTCCTTCGCGCGGACGGTGGACTCTCTCCCTTCTTGTTCTATTTCGCTCTCTTCTTCTTTTATTTTAGGGATAAAAAGTCCAAAAACTTGTACGGAAAGTGCAATTGAGTCCTAAAATTTTTAAAAAATACAATCGAATTTTATAACTTGTCAAAAAAATGCAATTGAGTTCTAAAATTTTTAAAAAGTGCAATCAAATCTTAAAACTTATCAAGTTGAATCAATCAAGTCCATTCGTTAACTCTACTTAACTATGCATTAATTGCATTATTTGAAAATTTTAGAACTCAATTACACATGATAAATTTTAAGACTTCTAATAAACTTATCACTTTTATTTTATCATGTCCTATTTAATTTCAATAAATAAAAAACATTTTAATAAAAGACTCGAAAGATGACGACCAGCCAACTTAATCTCAAATAAGGACTCATCTCTCCGGTTGGCTAAATCTTCGCCAACCGACTTTTTCTAATTATTGGAGTTAGGGCAATTTTGTCCAATTTTTATTTTACTCAAATTAAAGCTATGTGCGTGCTGACCAATTGAAAAATGGTCAAAACCCTAAAAATCAAAAATCCCAAATTGAATTCACTTATTCATATTTTTCTCCGCCTCTAACAATTATAATACACATATTTTGTACGATACACCCATTAAGTCATATCTTTGTTGTAGAAAATCAAAGGCAAAACATAGCAAAACGAAAGGAAAATATTGTTAAAAAAGTCTTAAATTTATTGTACGGATGGTAATTTGCCAATTTAATCGTAACCTTTCAATTGTGCTAATTCAAAAGGTTTTGAATTAAATTGACAAATTATCAAAAGGTTTAGGACTATATTGACATAAATAAAAGGTTTAGGACTAATTAGCTGCCGTACAATATGTTTATGACTTTTTAGATAATTACCCCAAAACAAAAGTTGACAAAAGCAAGTTAAGAGCATCGATTCCATCTAAGAAAAATTTGAAGAGGTTCGGGCTCTTCGATTCTAGCTCAAGTCCGTTGCCAATTAGCAAATCACTCCTCGCCCTTTCAAGTTCGTTGTCACAAGCTCCATCCTCTACCAGAGGAGAGTTCATTGCATCCAAATTTCAGCGTACTCTAATTTCCTCCATTTCAACCAAGGTCAATTTAGTAAATTTGTGCAGTTGATATTTCGTTCATCCAAGAGAAGGTTATCGTGCTCGTTAAAGTAACATGTCAACAAGGCGTGCGCATATTGTGGAGTACCCCACAACGGGTGGCGATGGCAGAAACGGTAGGAACAATTTTTATTTTTTTTAGTGTTGCTTTGGCTTGTTCAGTCAGATTTATGGGTCCATTCGGTCTCCTTCTGTATGCATTGATTGCATTTTCTGATGGCCAGTGGCAGTTGCTATGCATTTTCTAATTGGATTTGTTATCGCCGTATTCCCAATGTGCCGGTCGTGGTCCATGTTTTTACTTTTTTTTTCTTTTGTGCAAATCGATGCAGTTTTTTTTTTATTGTTTTTATTATGTTTTATCTGTTATATCATTAATAACCAATTTACTGATTCATGTTTTGCCGTGTATTGCATGAAGCATTGCCATTACTCAAAGTAGTTTTAGATAATCTTTTCAAAGTGTAGTACACTTTCATCATCATATATTTTATGTATTTAGCAATTCCCAAACCCACCCCGAGCATCTGGATTTCACCTCAGTTCAAAAAGTTCACCAAGTCTCAGGCTAGGAAGACAAATTGCATCAAGCAACAGTTCAAGAACCATAATTGACTGAGAGCCGGGGAACTCGGTTCATCACAAGCGAAACGATCAAAATCTGATTTACGGACTAACCATTCGGTTAATTGGCGAATCAATCGTCATCGCAGATTTCGAATATACATAGGACCAAGCCACGAGAGTAGTAAAGCTGAAACTACTAGGCGACTCTCTTAGCAACAATCTGAGCATCTATGGTGCGCAGGCCAACCTTGTGATGAGTTTGATTGACTATGTTATGCGCACCTCTCTCTCTGGAACAGGTCAATTTTACGAAGAGAATTTAAGCCAAAATGTCAGTCAATCCTCATTCAGGCCTTCCCACTAGACAAGTTGAGCACATGATCATACTTACGCAGATGACTAAGACGAAAATCAAGAGAGAAGGAACACATATCTCCTAACAATTCGAGAACCTTTAGTGTATCAGAAACATACCAATGTCTCCAGCCCCACCATTTTCAACTCGTTCTCCACTACCCTCTCGTTCCCAACAAGCACAACATCACGGACTATCGAGTTGATGTCTTTATTCGAGTCAACCACTTTATACTCTTGTTTGAGGCAAGTCCCCTCTGGTCCTTCTAAGCCTTTTTATGAAATTTTTCCTATTTTCTTTTTGCTTTGCTTCTAAAAGAAACTATTTAGACTCGACTTATTTGGTTTATGGTTTATAAAGAGCGTTTACACTTCAGTTCAAGTAAAATTAGAGCTGATTTTGTCTGCGAAAATAGCCCTTCTGATATGGGCAAGCCGATCTGATAGCACTATTAAGGAAAAACTTCAATTTGCCACGGTGAGCATGTTTTCTCAATTGGGGGGCGACCGGCGACCGCTGTGGCGATGGCGGTGATGCGCTGCCTAAGGACCGGCGAGGTTTAACACTTCGGGGGTGTAATAGGACTAGAAAATCGATTATCCTTAAATGTGCTCTTTGAAGATTAAAGAGGGTGATGTTATGATGATTGCGGGAAGATGATGAGTGGCCAATGATGGAAGAAAGATGGTCATTGATTGGTGTGTTCCGGATAGAATTTTTTGGGTTTTCTTTCTACTGTTTTCATTCATTTTCTTGAAGCGTTGATTCGTCCAACCATCCACCCATCACCATCTCCGCTATAAGCCTTACACGATCTCACCACCAATCCTCAGCCACCACGAGACCATCCTCGGTCGCCACATCGAGTCTCCTCAAGCAACCGCTCTTCGTCTCATCTCCATTTCACGGCCAACACCTCTATAATGGCCAGCAACATCGGCAGGGCTTCCACTTGTCCCCTATCTAATTACTATGCAAATGTCTTCACAACCCACATCCTAATCTTCGACCCTTGAATGATGCATGGAGTTGCTGTCATCCTTTTGTCCTAGAATCACAGTGGCATCCTGCACGGGTATGATGATTTAAAAGTTATTTCTGTTGAACATTATTACATATTGGTTACAGTTTTACCTTTTACCGATCGAAACCCAATGGAAGCTCAGGAGCACAGTTAATGGAAGTTCAGATTATGTCCATTGATCCGTGACATGACAGTGAATGGAAGCTCAGAAGGACTGAGACTCTTAAATGGCTACGTTATTGCATAAACATTTTCACAACCCACAAGTTCCATTTCATATTCAGCAATGGCTGATCCAATGACGATCCCTTCTTTTTTAATATTTGTTCGCAGCCCGACAGACGGATCTTGAATGGTCTCTACCAGGCATGAACACCACAGTTGATGAGATTGCCCAGTGGGCTTCGCTAGGAGTTTCTGGACAATACTCTGAGCTTTCATGGCTATTGCTCATGCAGATCATACATTTGCTGGATCTACATAGTTAAATGGCCTAAAGGTTGATTTATTTCTCTATAGCGGAATTTGTCAGCTGGTCTGGAAGTCAGCGGACAAACCACTCATGCACATCCGCAAACAAACTTATTTTCCATAAGATGTGGTAATTACTCGATAAAAGAAGTTATATAATATAAGCTCGGAGCTGTCAGGATTCCTCATGTTCCTAGCGGCATTTAGCACACTGAGAGTTGAATAATTTCCACATGCTCAAGTTCAAACTTATAAGATATAACCATCTAATCTTGATCCGCTTGTCTGGGAGTTATGGTGGCATGCCACCTGTTTGTCTCGATACATTAAGCTGGTTGACTTATATTGAAGATTCCAGTTTTCCTTCAGATCGGAAACCACGGGAGACAATTTCTGCTTAGTTGGACAATTTATACAGCGAAATGTGCTTGGAAGAATACTGATTTGGCAATGTCCTCTTGCCCTTGTATATATACAAGGTTGAAATGTTTGATTTGAACGACTTCTCTGCAGCAGAGTTTGCATAAGCAACAGAGAAAAGCTTCCTCTATCAAACAGAGCCATAAAAAAAAAAGGGGAATGGCTGATTCACTTGAGATTTCTAAAACCACAGGCCACTTTCGCTCAATCAGCTTGCCTTCCAGAAGTCACCCTCTAGCAACCGCTGTCGAACAGCAGTTGCAGAGGCTGAGATCATCAGACGCAACCTCTTCATCTCCGGCCTCATCGGCACCCCAAAAGTTAGGAGGCCTCAGAGATCTGTATGACTGCATTGATGATTGGCTTTACATGCCTCTAAACCAGCAGGTTCTTTCCCATGAACACCATAGGAGTTCTATGGAAGAGTTGTCGGATGGATCTGTGAAGCTATTGGACGTCTGTGGGAACGTAAAAGATATTTTTTTCACAGACAAAGGAATGCATCCAGGAACTCGAGTCATCATTCCGGAGAAGGAGAGGAGGAGACCCTGAAAAGGCGAGTGAAGTCTAGACATACATCAAATCTAGGAGAAAATTGCAGAAAGTGGTCACAAAACTTTTGGATCTGTTAGAAAGTCTAACCAAAAGCTTTTGCCTAGCATTAAGCGTGAAAATATTTAATTGAGGAGGCAAATAAGGCATGAAAAGATTTAAATTTAAGACCTCCTACTCTGATTAAGCTATTAGGTGGAGGGAAACTACATGAATATAAAGCCAGATCTAGCATTAAGCATGAAAATATTTAATTAGGGAGGCAAATAGGGCCTGGAAAGATTTGAATTAAAGATCTCCTGTTCTAATTGGATGTAAGATTTTATAGAACCACAACCAACTATTATAAACGCTTAAACTTTTAGGTAAAGGGAGACCACATGAATATACAGAGCATTTATGACCCGTTATCAATCGATGTGGGATAATAAATCACACCTTCATCTAAAAGTTTAAGCTTTTAGGTGGACTTTCTAGATGATTTGAAGAAAATGGAGAAGAAAAACCACCTGAGAAAACACTTGAAACCTGAGGCTACTCACAGCATATTGAGAGAAGCCGAAGAAATCAGTTTTTCAGTATTTGCGTCCCTGTTGCATGTTCTTTCAGGGCCAAGGGAAAGATCGAAGCCTGTCAGTTGGTCTTTGGTCTCAAATATGTTATCACCTATACGTGTGTCATGTGAAGAGAAAGCAAAATACGACACGAAGGATTGGATGTTGAGTTGTGTTGTTTTAATCGGCGACCTGGCGGAAGCGGATCGTAATTTTGCAATTAAGTTAGGGGCCATAGAAATTTAGAGAAATAAAACAAGGAAAAATAAAAGGATACGAGCAATTTACGTGATTCGGTCCGAATGTCAGAATCTACGTCCACAAGGAGAATCAACAAATAATCAATTAATAAATCGGAGAATTACAGAGTTACAATTACTCATATACTAGAATGTTTCCTAACCCTAGTATATATCCAATATCCACGGTGTTTAATAACTCAACTCAATGGACTCTCTCTGCGCACAAATCTCTCCGAGCTCACGCCTATGTTCTCTTGAGCTGTCGACTTCTCTGGACTTCTCACCTCGCTTCTGATGAGAGCTCCTCTCCTAATATAAAAGAGCTTGCGGTCAGTGAGAAAGAGTGGCCACCATTAAATGGCAGCACAGGCGCCCACAATGGATGACAAAATACAAGAGGACATTCGGCGCCCGCAAGACAAGCCTCTGAAGCAGCATGGGCACCCTCCAATATGCGTCTATGGGTATCAATGTGCATGCATTAAATGAGGTGGAAAAATGGAGACGTTCTTGCACATGGCCCTTCCTCTTTCTTCGTTCATTAGCAAAGACAGAAGAAGCCAAAAGGAGAAAGAGACGGAGCAAAAGTCAAGAAGACGAAGACTTTGTAATATGTTCTTCAATTAATGCTCCACGTTCGGCCACGAAAGAATTTCCAAGGCTGGATAATTCTTTCGTCTGCTCAGAACACGCGTCGTTTCTCATTAAATGCTCCGCGGTCGTGCTTCCTCATTTCAGCATATTGACAAATGCTCCGAGAGCAGATTGGGTATCGTGTACGGGCCCAAACTCGAGATATAATTTAATTCTGAAATTTGCTAAAGTCGGAAATTCTCAAGTATACAAAGTATCCAAGAGACTGGAGGCATTGGTATCAAGCATTCACGAAATTGAGGCGGACCTGGAATGCATTTTCAGGAGACTTGTCAAAACAAGAGCTGCTCTTCTCAATATAATCAACTGCCAGTGTCATATATTTCCTTGGTGCCAACCCATGTATGGCATCCTAAAAATTTTGCTAGTCTGTATATTGTGTCTGCGCCGTATACATTATAAATGGATAATACATTGGGAATCAAAATTGTTCTCTGAAACTACTCTCTCTCTATTACAATTGTCTGCTTATTGCTTTACTAATCAAATTATATTTAGGAGATCAAAAGGGTGAAAAATCATTTATGTATCAATGAATCTTTAACATTTCTGCAAATATCTGAATAGTTAAATGATCCTTATTGACTCAGCTTTTTCAACAGATTATCTGAATTGCATTTCTTTGCATTCTTGATCTCGAAGACGGCCTCTAATTGGCTTCAAGGCAACTACTCTGTCCTTATGGTGCCAATCAGTATCTACTTTTTTCGCAGTCCAACAATCTTTCTAGAATAACCATCTGTCTTTTCCCTCTATATAGCAGCTAACAGTTGATGTATCTCCAGAGTATCAATCTGTCGAGTTATCACAAAAGCTTTCTGCCATAGACATCACCTAGGAAATAAATATTTGCCACTTCTTCCACTCAACTTTTACGTCATTTCAGAACCACGAATTGCTAGATGAAGACAGTGGTTGATATAACAAATCCCAGTCATCTGCACACATAAGTGATATGAGAATGGTTAGTAAAAAATCACCTTAGAATTGATGTAGGCTGTCTTCTTCCTGTAGGGATTCGACATAGGGTTCCACAGTTGTTAAAACGCAGCGGAATATATTTGTAAACCGAAACCCTAGAACCCTAGAACCCTAGACAGGATCCATGTGTATATTGAAATCGAGACAGAAGTTCGATACGTACCTTTTGCAAATCGAACGTAAATTGATAATTGATTGTGTCTGGATTAGCGCCTCAAGTGTTGCGCCTCTACCGGTATTCACACACGCGAATAGAAGTCTCCAACGATCCAAGTGCTAGCTAAAGATCTTGAAGTTCCTTTTTTTCAACGCTTTTTGATTTTCGATACTCTGTCGAAAATCCCTAGACAGAGAACGATTCTCTATCTATTTATACAGCCTCATTATCCAGCGGAATTAGAAGAAGTGGGCCGCGCGATTTGGGCCCGCCAAACCGTCCACCTTCAATCGTACGTTTAATCGTTATCTCATAACGTGTACAACCGCGTAGATAAGTTGAATAGGAAAATAAATTAAAATCTACTTTTATTTTAAGTAGATCCCGGCGTACATAAAATATTAACTCAGTTCGCTTTTGTGTGCGACCCTGTAGGTTCACTAAACATTAACAGTGTGCTCAAAACCCTTTTTGGCCCACAAGTCATAAGAGGTCTTTAGCAAGACATTATGATTACCTAAGTATAGTGAAGGTCGATTTTCTGACACAATTTAATCCACAACTAATATTAGAGTATCAACCTTGATTGATTCTTAGGGCAGACCACTAACACTTCCAGCTTTGCTCGTCCAGACCATGGAGATCTTCATAATTTTAACTTTGGTCAGTGGGCTCCTTCTCTTCCTTTTTGCTGGCTCATTTTCCTGCTATGTTCTAGCAGCATAATGTGGCTACAATCTTTCAGGTTCTTGCATGAACAGGTGCATTAGAAAATGGGAGGCATCATGTTAATTTAATCGGTGCCTTCATCTTATAATTAATGTAAATTATTTTTAGGCTTCTCAACTAGGGACGCGAATCAAAAGGTTTTCTCAAACTCCCCACAATGGCGGTATCAATGCAGCAGCATTTAAGAAAGTTTGGATAAGGATAGTCATAAGGGAAAGAGTAGACAAACAAATGTGCCGACAATTACTTGATTTTACAGTCGGCTGAAGCAAAGAAACATTGAAAGAGGAGAAAAATCAAAAAAGAAAATGTCCACACTGTATACAAATCTAAGTCAAAAGAGAGAGAATCATTTGCAGAAGGAGTTCAAACTTTAGTGAATATGAAATTAAGACTTGTTAGAGATGACTTATGGCCAAGGTAATGAACTTGTTAGAGTTGACTAATGGTCAAGGTAATGATGGATTATGGTTATGTGTCTTGTTAGCGTAAGAAGCTTAGCTTACGAAGGACATGTGGCATGCTTGAACTCTCCAAAAGTGACATGTGGCCATGCTTTTAGTCTTCAAATGTGGCAAGTGGCCATGCATAAATTCTCCATAAGCCACGGGAGTTCTTGGTGTCTAAAGAGAGGTCATGTGAGGAATTAAAATAAAAATAGAATTTCTTCTTTTTTATAACACCAATTAACAATAATTAACTAGAGTTTAAATTAACAATATCGCACATTAATAATTAAGGCGATGGTAAATTAATTAACACCGCTCTACTATTAACGTACACACCAACGTTTATAAATTTTAAATACGTCGAATTCGGAACGATTACATTCTTGAATCTGCGCCGCACAAATTTACTGTCTAACAAAGAATTATACGCGTCCACCTAAATTCTACGATAAATTATACTTTGCTTTACAATCTAAGTATTAATTTCAGACACCGAAAATTTCTAATGCCACATAAATATTATAATGAAAAATCAGGATGTCACAGTTAACGTCCTCACAAAGTGAATGGAGGCAAATGCATCCATGGAGGCCTCCTGTACTGTTTTGTTTGATGTGACATGAATATGAAGTTGTATCTCATATGTGGTTAGAGTAGAGTTGATACATCAAAATACACTAGGAACTAATGGTTTCTCGAAATTAGTTCTCTCCTGGGATATTTTGTTTCCTTCTTCTTCTGAACTCTTTGATTTGACTTACCAAATGAAAAAAGAAGCAGGGCATTTGGGAAAACCCCAATAGTTAAGCTAGTTCACGAGTATCAAGGGCATGTAACAATTCATTTTTGGACCATTACGAAGAAAACAGAGTCATCCTATTTCTCATAATGATTTTATTGTAAAAATTATCAGAAACGAAGTGTAAACTGAATGTATATGCACTTTAAATAATTCAAAAAATAATGATAAAATGATCTTGCTTCTAGTATCCATCTTATCTTTAGTATGTCTAGGAATGTTAAAAGGTATATATGCGATTCATTCGTCATAACTCCTTTTCCACTAGAATTATTTCCATGTAGGAGAGTAATTATAGCAGCAGAAGAATCTTATCAATAACACTGATAAATCCATAAGGATCAACAATTTCAAGTCAAGATTATGCCTTCAAAAGAAGTTCACATGCTAAAAAAAATCAACGAGGAAATTTACTTTGACAGATCTGCCAAGTTTTATTTTTGGTCAGAACAGATCTGCGAAGTTAACTGGTGTAAGTGTTGATCTATCTCTTTATAGAAGTATAAGGTTACTTGTCTGGAAGTCTCTCAGACAAACCGCTCGTGCACGTGCATGAATTAACTTAATATGCCTCTCATGTTCACATAAAATGCGGTGATTGTACAAATAAAACAAGTTAAATACTATAAGCTCAGTGCTGTCAAGATTCCACTTGTCTTTGGCTGCATCAGCACGCTGACCCTAGAGTGTCCTACACATGCTCGTGTTCAAACACAAACGATATAACCTTTTCGTCCTCTTGTCTGGTATTCTTGGTGGCATACCACCTGTGTGTATCTGTATTCAAAGCCTTGTTGATGTTTTTTCACATATTCCAAATGCTCATAAACTGAGGATTAAATGATACGACAGTCTAATAGTCATCCTTTTGTCTGGGAATCATGGCAGCGCACTGCCCAAGTGCAGATGATTGATCTTTGTTTGATATTCTAATTTTGCTTGAGATCTGAAACAGATAACATTGTCGGGGAAGTCAGAGGACCATTCAAATGACAGCAAATTCGAGCCTGGAAGAACTGGACAGTCAAATACCTCCAGCAGTCATATATATATATATACCAGGGTAAGAGGTATGGCATGAACACACTCCTCTCACAGAAAAATCCACATCTCAGACAGTGAAAGGCTTCAATTTTTTGAGAGTCAAAAGAAAATGGCTTCCTCAGTTGAGATTTCTAAATTTGCTGGGCATTCCCGATCTATCAGCCTGCCCTCCAGGGGCCACCCTCTCACCATAACAGTCGAGGATCGGTTGGATAGGCTGAGATCATCAGAAGCAACATCCTCAGCCGTGAACCAAAATTTAGGAGGCCTCAAAGACTTGTACGAAAGCATCAATGATTTGCTTCAGTTGCCACTTACTATACAGGCCATCTCCCACGATTGCATCGAGCAGTCATTGGATGGACCGATTAGGCTGTTGGATTTTTGTGGAACTATCAGAGACGTGTTCTCGCAAATGAAGGAATGCGTGCAGGAGCTAGAGTCATCACTCAGGAGAAAGAGAGGAGGTGATTCTGGCCTAGCAAGTGAAGTCGAGTCGTACATCAAATCTAAGAAGAGACTGCAGAAAGTCATCTCCAAGATTTCAGAGAATTTGAAGAGAGTGGAGAAGAAAAAGAAAGACTCCAGCAAAGAAGCTGCTCTTAGCATGATAAGAGAAGCTGAAGATATCAGTCTTTCGGTGTTTGAGTCCTTGTTATGTCTCTTATCTGGGCCAAAGGCGAAATCAAAGACCAATGGCTGGTCTTTAGTTTCCAAGCTTGTCCCGTCCAAACATTCCTGCGAAGAGAACGTAAATGACAACAATGTGGAAGGCTTGTATGTTGACTTCTCTGTTCTAAAGTCTGTCGAAGACATGAACCATCGAGTACTAAAGCGACTGGAGGCATCGGAGTCAACAATTCAGGACATCGAGGAGGATTTGGAATGCCTATTCAGGCATTTAGTGAAGACAAGAGCTTCTCTTCTCAACATTCTCAACCATTAGGGTCTTTGTCTACATGGTGTCTATCCAATCAGGAAAAGATTTTGTAGTATGTACAGTGTAACAATGTGTTATTACAAGATGTATATAGACACAAACACTTGAGTACTAAATATTATTGCCCAACTCTCTCTCATCCAATTTCAAAATAGATTGTTATGATTATAAGACATATAAACGGTGTCTGAGAACTAAATCAACCTTTAGGCCAAGTTATTTGGTACACAAAAGAAATCTCAGATTTTAATCGGTATCAGTTCTGTATGGATCCTTGCACTCTGTTCGCAGTTTAGGAACCTTCCAAAATGGAAGCACCCAAAAAGAGACCCACTTTCTAAATAAACTTACCATGACCCACTTTCTAAATAAACTTACCATGCTTTGCAATTGTATTCTATCAATCTTATAGAAATGTGAACATAATTTTATCACTTTGGTTTCAATTGCTTGTCTGCTCTTATCCAATTAAGCAACTTTGGCAGATCTGACCAATCCTTCCCTCCTACCCTTATGTCTAACCATGGTTTTCTAATCGCATACTGACAAGTCAACTGTGAAGCATCTCTCTCTCTCTCTCTCTCTCTCTCTCCATGGCAGTTCCTATGGATCATTTGGTTAGATCTGTAAAACTAGATGTCTTTAAAGCTTCCTATTACAAAGTTTTTATTTACAGTGGACTGGGCTGTTGGTCTGAAAGACGGGACATGCCACTCGTGCAAACCCACGACTCCATTATATGCATGCCTTTTGGAGTAGTCTGGCTATCTCATGTCATTTATTAGAAGAATCTCAACCAATAGTCAACGTGATGTAATAACTGACGCAAAGGAATAGCTTCAAGATAGTCGCACATACTTAAGCTGTAGCTGTAAAGATTCCACTTGTCCCCTTCCTACATTAGTCTACAGATGTTGTCACAACCCACACGCTCAATTTTAGCATTAAACGATGCAAGAAGTAATTGTCATCCTCTTCTATGAGAATCCCTGCGGCATTGCATGTGTGCACATTTTCAAAAACTTTGTAGGTACATTTCGTTTGGATTCCGTTTCCTGATCGATCTAAAACCTAATGGAAACATTGTCAGGAGGTTGTCAACTGATCTGTGACGTGACAGCTAATGGAAGCTCAGAAGGACTTGAGTCTTAGATGGCTATATTATTACATAAACATTGTCCTAACCCACGAGTTCCACATCAGTATTGAGCAATGCGTGATCTCATGGGTATCCATTTTTTTTAATAGTCACTGTCGCTTACCACCCGTGCACGTTGTTTACTACATTTCCGATCATTTCATATTGATCCACAGCCCAACATACGGATCTTGATTGATCTTTCCCAAACATCAATGCCACATTTGATGAGTATGCCAGGTAGTGTTTGCCACAAATATCTGAACAATACTCTGAGCTGTCATGGCTATTGCTGATGCAGATCATATGTTTGCTGGATCTACAAAGTTAAGTGCCTAAATGTCGATTTATTTCTCTATAGCGGCATTCGTTAGTTGGTCTGGAAGTCAGCCGACAAACCACTCGTGCACAACAGCAAACAAACTTAATTTTCATAGAACGTGGTAATTACTTGATAGAAAGGACTCGAATGGTATAAGGTCGGAGCTGTCAAGATTCCTCATGTCCCTAGCAGCATCAGCACACAGAGAGTTAAATAATTTCCACATGCTCAACTTCAAACCTACAAGATATAACCATCTAATCTTGATCTGCTTGTCTGGGAGTCATGGTGGCATACCCCCTGTTTGAATTGATACATTATGCTGGTTCCTTTTGTTGAAGATTCCAATTTTCCTTGAGATCAGAAACCATGGGACACACTTTCTGCTTAGTTGGACGATCCATCACATGACAGCAAAAATGAACTAGGAAGAATACTGATTTGTCTATGTCCTCTAGCCCTTGTATAAATACAAGGTTGAAGCGTTTGGTTTGAACAACTCCTTTGTAGCCGTGTTTGTATAAAGAACAGAGGAAAGTATCCTTCTATCAACAGAACCTCAAAAAAAAAAAAAATGGCTGATTCACTGGAGATTACTAAAACCACAGGCCACTCACGCTCAATCAGCTTGCCTTCCAGAAGTCACCCTCTCGCAACAGCTGTCGAAGAGCAGCTGCAGAGGTTGAGATCATCAGATGCAACTTCCTCATCTCCGGCCTCATCAGCACCCCAAAAGTTAGGAGGCCTTAATGATCTGTACGACTGCATTGATGATTGGCTTCAGATGCCTCTAACCCAGCAGGCTCTTTCCCATGAACACCATAGGAGTTCTATGGAAGAGTTGTTGGATGGTTCTGTGAAGCTATTGGATGTCTGTGGGAACGTAAGAGATATTTTTTCACATACAAAGGAATGCATCCAGGAACTCGAGTCATCATTCCGGAGAAGGAGAGGAGGGGGTTCTGAAAAGGCAAGTGAAGTTGAGACATACATCAAATCTAGGAAAAAATTGCAGAAAATGGTCGCAAAACTTTTGGATCATTTGAAGAAGATGGTGAAGAAAAACCACCTGAGAAAACACTCAAAACCTGAGGCTACTCTCAGTGTACTAAGAGAAGCTGAAGAAATCAGTTTTTCAGTATTTGAGTCCCTATTGCATGTCCTTTCAGGGCCGAGGGAAAGATTGAAGCCTGTCAGTTGGTCTATGGTCTCAAATATGTTGTCACCTAAACGCATATCATGTGATGAGAAAGCAGAATACGACCAAATCCAAGGCTTGGATGTCGAATTGACCATTTTGAAATCTGCTAAAGATGCTAATCCTCAAGTTGACAATGTATCTAAGAGAATGGAGGCATTGGAATTGAGCATTCGGGAAATTGAGGAGGACGTGGAATGCATATTCAGGAGACTTGTCAAAACAAGAGCTGGTCTTCTCAATATAATCAACTGCTAGTGTCATATTTTTCTGTGGTGCCAACCAATCTATGGCATCCTTAAAAATATTGCTAGTCTGTACATTGTATCTTCTCCGTATACACTGTAAATTGTATAGATACATTGTGAATCATAAAAGTTCACCGAAATTACTCTCTCTCTCTCTCTCTCTCTCTCTCTCTCTCTCTCTCTCTCTCAATTTTCTGCTTATTTCTTTACTAATAAAATTAATTCTTAGGAGCTCAAAAGGGTGAGGAAAATTCATTTATGTATTAATGAATCTTTAACATCTGTGCAATTAGCTCAATGAATAAATGGTCTTTATCGACTCAGCTTTTCCAACAAATAATCTGATTTACAACTCTTTGCATTATTGATCATGAATACGGTCTCTAATTAGCTTCAAGGCAACTAGTCCGACCTTTTGTACCAATCAGTATTTACTTTTTCGGCAGTCCAACAATATTTCTGGAATAACCATATTCTTTTCCCTCTATATAGCAGCTAACAGTTAATAGTTTCAAGATGGTATCAATCTATCAAGTTCTCACAGAAGCTCTCTGTTCTATACATCATCTAGGGGATATTTTTGAATCTTCCTCTGCCTAACTTCTATGCCATCGCATAACTATGAAATGCAAGATGAAGGCAGTAATTGATATAACCAATCTCAGTCATTTGCACACATCAGTTATATGAAAATGGTTAGCAAGAAACCACCTTAGATTAGATGTAGGCTGTCTTCTTCCAGTTTTGTTCATCCGGACAACAGATATCTTCATGATTTTGACTTTGGCCAGTCAAGTTCTTCCTCTTCCATTTTGGTTTCTCATTTCTTTCTATGAGATGCTTCTAGGAGAAGGGCTACAAGTTTTCAGGTTCTTGCATGAACAGATGCATTAGACAATGGGAGGCATCATGTTAATTAATTTGCTATTATCAATCTAAATATTTTTTAGACTTCTCAACTGGTGAAGCGAATCGAATGGCTTTCTCAGACTCATTGCAATAGGCAGCAGATGTTAAGAAAGGTTGACTAAGGTTAGCAATGTGGAAAAATGTAGATAAACAAATGTGCCGATAATTTCTTGATTTTACAGTCAGCGGAAGCACAGAAACGTTGAAAGAGGAGAAAAATCAGAAACTGTCCATACTGTATACAAATCCGAGTCAAAAGAGGAAAGAATCATTTGCAGAAGGATTTCAAATTTTAGTGAATATGAACAGCTAATCGCGTCATTATCGCAGTGCCTCTTATTTTATACAGATTAATCTTGATCACTGCAGGAACTTTCCTAGGTGTTGCTAGGCAAGTACCTAGGAAGAGAGCACTATTAAGTTCTGTCTTTTAGGGACAACACAGTATATTAGATCTGCTTTAAATTCAGATCAACCATACTGAAACATGCACAATATTTATTCTCTTATAATCTCCAAGATCTTGTGTGCTCTCAAGCCTCACCAATTAAGCAGTCTGGCATCCTTAGCTCGTGCCAAAATGTCTAACCATAGTTTTAAGATGACCAACAACAAAATCTTAACAAAAATCTCTCTCTCTCTCTTCTCTCTCTCATGGAAGGTTCCTGCAAATGCATTTGGTTCCCACCAATTTCCTATAGTCATTTTAGTACCAAGACTCTAACCTGGAGGCTCCTCTGAGAATGCAAAGAGAAGCAGAAGACATTAGTCAAGCAGTTTTCTGCTCCCGGTGAGGACAATATCATAACCTAAAGGCTGGTCATCAATTTTCAAAGCTATCATCATCTAAAAAGTATCACGGGAGGGAGAAGAGGATGTTAGCAAACTGCAACACTTGGATATCGAAATGCTCTCACAGGGTTTATTCAAAGATGTCAACCATAGAGTGAGCAATATATTAAAGCATTTGGAGGTGCCAGATTTTAACATTCAGGAAATTTAAGAGGAACTGGAGTGCATTTTCAGGCACAAACTAAAAATGAGAGTTTCCTTACTTAACATTGTTAACCTCTAGACTAAATGAATGGAGGGAAATGCATCAATGGTGCCTCACGTACAGTTTTGTAAGCTGTAACTTGCATGTGAAGTTGTATTATGTATGTAATTAGAGTAGAGTTTATCCATCTGAAAACACTTGGAACGAATGGTTTCTCCGAATTAGTTCTCTCCTGGGTTTCCTTCTTCAGACTCTTTGATTCGACTTAATAATTGATTCCTGCTGAGCATAGCTCAAGAAATGCCAAGAGCATCACTAAGAAAATTAAACAGCAAAATACCAACTGCAAAAAGCAACAGGGAATTTGGGAAAACCCAATAGTTAAGCTAGTTCAGGAGTATCGAGGACATGTAACAATTAATTTTTGGACAGTTATGAAGATAACAGAGTCATTCTATATATCATAATAATTGTATTGTGAAAGTTATTAGAAACAAAGTGTAAACCGAATATTTATGTATATATGTATCTGCAATTTAACGAGTTGAGAACATAAGGATGAAATGAACTTGCTTCTAGCATCCATCCTACTTTTCAGTATGTGTAGGAAAGCCCATAGGTATATATATTCGATTCATTCCCAATAACTCCTTTTCCATTAGAACTTTTTCCATGTTGATGAGTAACTTTATCAGCAGTAATGATAAGTGTATAAGGATGAACAATTTATGCCTTCAAAAGATGTTCACGAGCGTCAAAAGAGTCATTGAGGATAATTTGCTTTGACAGATATGCAAAGTTAACTGGTGTAACTGTTGAGCTATTTATTTATGGAAGTGTCAGGTTACTGGTCTGGAAGTCAGTGGACAAACCACTCGCCCATATGCATGAAGTTACTTAATTTACATCTTCTGTTCACATAAAATGCAGCAATTATACAAATAATACAAGTTGAATACTATAAGCTCCGTGCTGGCAAGATTCAACATGCCCCTAGCTGCATTAGCACACTGATATTAGAGTTTTCTCCACATGCTCATGTTCAAAGACAAACGATATAACCATTTCATCATCTTGTCTGGGATTCTTGGTGGCATACCACATATGTGTATCAATATTTAAAGCCGGTTGATGTTTATTTGCAGATCCCACATAAACTCAGGCCTAAATTATATGGCCATCTAATAGTGATCCTTTTGTCTGGGAATCACGGTGGCACACTGCCCAACTACACATGTTTGATCATTCTCTAATATTCTAATTTCGCTTGAGATCAGAAACCGATAACATTGTCAGGGAAGTTGGAGGACCCATCAAATGACAGCGAAGTCAAGTTGGGAAGAACTGGACAGTCAAATGCCTCCAGGAGTTATATATATACCAGGTAAGAGGTGTGGCATGAACATACTTCTCTAAGAGCAAAATCCACATCTAAAACAGTGAAAGGCTTCTATCTTCTGAGAGTCAAAGAAAATGGCTTCCCCAGTTGAGATTTCTAAATTTACTGGGCATTCCCGTTCTATCAGCCTGCCTTCCAAGAGCCACCCTTTGACTACAACAGTCAAGGATCAGTTGGATTGGCTGAGATCATCAGAAGAAACATCCTCATCTGTGTGCCAAAATTTAGGAGGCCTCAAAAACTTGTACGAAACCATCAATGATTTGCTTCAGTTACCCCTCACTCAACAGGCTATCTCCCATGATGATCACAGCAAACGCATCAAGGAGTTGTTGGATGTATCGCTCAGGCTGTTGGACGTTTGTGGAACTATTAGAGATGTGTTCTCGCAAATGAAGGAATGTGTTCTGGGGCTAGAGTCGTCACTTAGAAGAAAGAGAGGAGGTGATTCTGGCCTACCAAGTGAAGCTGAGTCATCCATGAAATCTAAGAAAAGACTGCAGAAAGTCATCTCCAAGATTTCAGAGAATTTGAAGAGAGTGGAGAAGAAAAAGAAAGACTCTAAACAAGAAGCTGCTCTGAGCATGCTAAGAGAAGCTGAAGATATTAGTCTTTTGGTATTTGAGTCCTTGTTATGTCTCTTATCTGGGGCAAAGGCAAAATCAAAGATTAATGGTTGGTCTTTGGTTTCCAAGCTTGTCTTGTCCAAACATGTATCCTGCGAAGAGAATGTAAATGACAACAATATGGAAGGGTTGGATGTTGACCTGTCTGATCTAAGGTCTGTCAAAGACATGAAGCTTCAAGTACTAAAGCGACTGGAGGCATTAGAGTCAACCATTCAGGAAATCGAAGAGGATTTAGAATGCCTACTTAGGCTTTTAGTGAAGACAAGAGCTTCTCTTCTCAACATTCTCAACCATTAGGATTAGGAAAAGATTTTGTAGTATGTACAGTGTAACAATGTATTATTACAAGATGTAAATAGACACAAACACTTGAGTACCAAATATTATTGCCCAACTCTTTCTCATCCGATTTTAAAATAGATTGTTATTGATGAAAAACACAATCGTCATTCACTTAATCAAATTACATCATCTATATATATATAGTGAGCATTATGGCTCACTAATTATGGAGAAGACTAAACTACCCTTTCAACACTCCCCCTCAAGTTGGGGCATAAACATCAAAGAGCCCCAACTTGTTACACAAAGTAATCACTCTACTACCTTGCAATGACTTAGTGAAAAGATCAGCAAGTTGGTCTTCAGTCCGTGTGTATTGAAGTGTTATTTCCTTGTTTTGAATCTTTTCTCGCACAAAATGGCAATCTACTTCAATGTGCTTCGTGCGCTCGTGAAAAACTGGATTTGAAGCGATATGCATAGCAGACTGGTTATCACAACACAGAACTGAGGGAGCTGAAGAAGACATACTAAGTTCGGATAATAACATCTGCAACCAAATCAACTCACTAGTCACATGAGCCATGGCCCGATATTCCGCCTCAGCACTCGATCGAGACACCACCTGTTGTTTCTTACTTTTCCAACTCACAAGATTGCCTCCCAAGAATACACAATAACCAGAAGTTGATCGCCTATCAAAAGGACAACCAGCCCAATCAGCATCAGAGTAGCCAATAACATCAAGATGTCCATGATTCTTGAACAATATCCCTTTACCTGGTGCTCCCTTCAAGTATTTAACTATACGTAGCACTGCATCCCAATGTGTAGTACGAGGAGTACTCATAAATTGACTAACAGCACTAACCGCAAAAGAGATATCTGGTCGGGTAACAGTTAAATAATTGAGCTTACCCACCAGTCTCCGATACTTACTTGGATCATGAAGTAATTCACCTTGTTCTGCATCAAGCTTCACATTAGGATCCATCGGAGTATTAACAGGCTTCGCTCCAAGAAAACCAACCTCACTAAGAATATCCAATACATATTTCCGCTGTGATAATGAGATACCATCACGTGAGTAGGCCACCTCAATGCCCAAGAAATACCGCAAACAACCCATATCTTTTGTGCTAAATTCTGCCTGTAAAAACTGTTTCAATTTTTTTATGCCCACAGAATCACTACCAGTAATGATAATATCATCCACATACACAATCAGGAGAACACACCCAGCAGGGGAAGTAGAGCTAAATACAGAATGATCTACGGTACAACGTCGCAAACCAAACCGAATAACTGCATCACTGAAACGACCAAACCAGGCACGAGGAGACTGTTTCAATCCATATAATGCCTTACGTAGACGACAAACACTGGTAGACTCCCCCTGAGCAACGAACCCCGGGGGTTGCTCCATATATACCTCCTCTACCAAGTCCCCATGAAGAAAGGCATTCTTGACATCAAGTTGGTGAAGAGTCCAACCATAATGGACAGTTATGATTAATGACGTATATCCACGGTGTCTGAATTCAAGCGTTTTAGCCGGATGAATGATAGCTACTTCTATTTCTTGTAGGAAGACTCATCTAATCAGCTTTTCGATCTGACGGTTGACAATTTAACATTTTCACAACACAAACTTTCTGCTCCAGGTGTTCCGTCTTGATACTTTTAGCTTAGTGCATTAATTAGTATTTCTGTTTTGACAAGATAACATTCCTGAATTTCAATAACATCAACGATTGTTTTCCTTGAATCTCAATTTGAGACTCTCCAGGTATCAGGTTCCTCTTCCGCAAGCATTGCCTCAAGTACGATTAGTAGATTCTTCAGCTGAATCCTTCCATTCCAGCCACAAAGTGCCAGACAAGGCCAAGTTTGATAGCTAAGACATATTCTAGGTTTATCATATGGGATAATTGCATCATGCCCCCTAGGTTTTTTGGTTGTGGCAGTTTGCCCCCTGATAACTCAATTTGTGCGATATCCACCCTAACATTTTGAAATCCATTTCAATATACCTCTAACTTTGACTCTGGCCAAATTCTCAGTGGAAAGTCGGTCACATGCTCTCGTATTTTTTTGCAACCCCCGATGTTTCCAAATCGAATTCAATATCCATTTCAAAAGGATATCATTTGCAAAAGAAATTTCAGGTTTTAATGAAGTCGTAGTTCTGTATGGATTGTTGCGCACTGTTCTCAGTTCAGTACCTTCCAACGTATTGCCTGGAAGCACCCAATACGAGACCTGCTTTCTATAATAAACTTACCATGCTTTTGCAATTGTATTTAATCAATCTTACAGAAATGTGAACATAGTTTTATCACTTTGTTCTCAATTTCTTGTCTGCTCTTTGCCAATTAAGCAACTTTGTGAGATCTGACCAATCCTTCCCTCGTACCTATGTCTTGCCTTAGTTTTCTAATCACATATTGACAAGTCAACTCTAAAGCATCTCTCTCTCTCTCCCCATGGAAGGTCCTATGGATGCATTTGGTTAGATCTGTAAAACTAGATGCCCTAAAAGCTTCTGTTGACTAAGTTTTTCAAAACAGTGGACTGGGTTGTTGGTCCAGAAGACGGGACAAGCGACTCGTGCAAACCCAGGAGTCCATTATATGCATGCCTTTTAGAGTAGTCTGAACATTTCATGTCACTGACTAGAAGCATCTCAACCAATAATCAACCCAATTTAATAAATGAGGCAAACGGATAACGTTAAGATAGTTGCACAAGCTTAAGCTGTAAGATTCCACTTGTCCCCTTGCTCCATTAGTCCACAGATGTTTTCACAACCCACATGCTCAATTTCAACATTAAATGATTCGTGAAGTAATTGTCATCCTCTTCTCTGAGAATCATTGTGGCATTGTACACGTGCCCATTGTCAAAAAAAAATTTAGATCACTTTAGATGGATTTTGGTTTTCTTGATCGATGTAAAACCTAATGGAATATTGTCAGGAGGTTGTCAATTGATCCGTGACATTACGGCTAATGGAAGCTTGGAAGGACTTGACTCTTAATTGGCAATATTATTGCGCAAACATTTTCACAATCCACAGGCTCCATTCCAGTATTCAACAATGCATGATTCAATGGGTATCCTTTTTTTTATAATCACGGTGGCATATCACCCGTGCATATTGTTTGCTACATTTCAGATCATTTCATATTGATCCGCAGCCCAACAGAAGGATCTTGATTGGTCTCTCCCAAACATCAACACCACAGCTGATGAGGTTCCCAAGTCAACGAATATTTAAACAATACTCTGAGCTGTCGTGGCTATTGCAGATGCAGATCATATGTTTGCTGGATCTACAAAGTTAAGTGGCCTAAGTTTTGATTTATCTCTCTATAGCGGTATTGGTTAGCTGGTCTGGAAGTCAGCGGACAAACCACTTGTACACAACAGCAAACTAACTTAGTTTTCATAAACTGTGGTGATTACTCGAAGCGGTCAAGATTCCTCATGCTCCTAGCAGCATTAGCGCACACAGAGTTGAATAATTTCCACATGCTCAAGTTCAAACCTACAAGATATATCCATCTAATCTTGAGCTGCTTGCCTGGGAGTTTTGGTGGCATACCCCCTGTTTGTATTAATACATTAAGCTGGTTCGCTTTTGTTGAAGATTCTGGTTTTCCTTTAGATCAGAAACCATGGGACACACTTTCTGCTTAGTTGGACGATACATCACATGCCAGCAAAAATAAACTTGGAAGAATACTGATTTGTCAATGTCCTCTAGCCCTTGTATATATACAAGGTTGAAGTGTTTGGTTTGAACAACTCCTCTGTAGCAGTGTTTGCATAAACAAGAGTGAAAAGCTTCCTTCTATCACACAGAACCTTAATGGCTGATTCACTTGAGATTTCTAAAACCACACTCCACTCTACCTCATTCAGCTTGCCTTCAAGAAGTCACCCTCTAGCAACAGCTGTCGAAGAGCTGTTGCAGAGGCTGAATTCATCGGATGCAACTTCCTCATCTCCGGCCTCATCAGCACCCCGAAAGTTAGGAGGCCTCAAAGATCTGTACGACTGCATTGATGATTGGCTTCAAATGGCTCTAAACCAGCAGGCTCTTTCCCATGAACACCATAGGAGTTCCATGGAAGAGTTGTTGGACAGATCTTTGAAGCTATTGGACGTTTGTGGGAATGTGAAAGACATTTTTTCACAGACGAAAGAATGCATCCAGGAACTTGAGTCATCATTCCGGAGAAGGAGACGAGGAAATCCTGCACAGTCAAGTGAAGTCGAGACATACAAAAAATCAAGGAAAAGATTGCAGAAGATGGTCGCAAAGCTTTTGGATCATTTGAAGAAGATGGAGAGGAAAAATAACCTGAGAAAACACACGAATCCTGAGGCTACTCTCAGCATACTAAGAGAAGCTGAAGAAATCAGCTTAACAGTATTTGAGTCCCTGTTACATGTCCTTTTAGGGCCAAGGGAAAGATCAAAGCCTATCGGTTGGTCTTTGGTCTCAAATATGTTGTCACCTAAACACATATCATGTGATGAGAAAGCGGAATATGACAAAATCGAAGGCCTGGATGTTGAATTGACCGTTCTGAAATCAGCTAAAGACGCTAATCCTCGAGTATGCAATGTGTCCAAGAGACTGGAGGCATTGGAATCAAGTATTCAGGAAATTGAGAAGGACCTGGAATGCATTTACAGGAGACTTGTCAAAACAAGAGCTGCTCTTCTGAATATAATCAACTACTAGTGTCATATGTTTCCTTGGTGCCAACCCATGTATGGCATCCTAATTGGTAGTCTGTATATTGTATCTTCACCGTATACATTGTAATTGGATAGACACAATGTGAATCAAAAAGCTTCACTGAAATTACTCTCTCTCTCTCTCTCTCTCTCTCTCCATTACAGTTGTCTGCTTATTGTTTGACCAATGGAATTATTTGTTAGGAGCTCAAAAGGTTGAAGAAAAATCATTTATGTATCAGGTGAAACTTTAACATTTTGTAATTAGCTCAATTAATAAATCGTCTTTATCGACTTAGCTTTTCCAACAAATTATCTTAATTGCAACTCTTTGCATTATTGATCACGAAGATGGCCTCTAATTAGCTTCAAGGCGACTAGTCTGTCCTTATTGTACCAATCAGTGTTTACTTTTTCCGCAGTCCGACAATCTTTCCAGAATGGCCGTCATCTTTTCCCTCTATATAGCAGCTAACAGTTGATAGTTTCACTAGAGTATCAATCTGTCAAGTAATCACAGAAGCTCACTGCCATAGACATCACCTAGGAAATATTTCCCAATCTTCTTCTGCTTAACTTTTAAGCCATTGCAAATATGAAATGCAAGATGTAGGCTGTGGTTGATATCCAGCCATCTGCACACATCAGTGATATGAAAATGGTTAGGAAAAAACCACCTTAGATTAGATGTAGGCTGTCTTCTTGCGGTTTTGTTCGTCCGGACCACGGAGGTCTTTGTCATTTTAACTTTGGTCAGTCCAGTTCCTTCTCTTCCTCTTTGGTTACTCAGTGACATTTCTAGGAGCGTAATGTGGCTACGATCTTTCAGGTTCTTGCATGAACAGATGCATTAGACTGGGAGGCATCATGTTAATCTTATTGGAGCCTCACCTTATTATCTATCTAAATTTTGCTAGACTTCTCAACCAGTGAAGCGAATCAAAAAGTTTTCTCGAACTCCTTGCAATTGCCGGTATCGCAGCAGCAGATTTTAAGAAAGACTGGATAAGGGTAGTAAACAGGAAAAGAGTAGACAAAGAAATATGCCAATAATTACGTGATTTTACAGTTGGCCGAAGCCAAGAAACATTCAAAGAGGAGCAAAATCAGAAAATGAACTGTCCATGCAGGTCTAAAAGAGGGAAAGAATCATTTGCAGAAGGATTTCAAATTTTAGTGAATAAGAACAGCTAGTCACGTCATAATTGCAGTTGCTCTTATTTCTTCCAGATAAATCTTGTTCACTGCAGGAACTTTCCTAGGTGTTGCTTGGCAAGTACCTAGAGAGAAAATCGCTAGTTGTTAAGTGTAAGTTCTATCTTTTAGGGACAACGCAGTATGTCAGATCTGCCTCTGGATCAGATCAATCATACAGAAATGTTTTAGTTCGCAAGATCTTGTCTGCTCTCGAGCCTCACCAATTAAGCACACAGTCCGGCATCCTTACCTCGTGCACATATGTCTAACACTCTTAGGATTACCAACAACAAAATCTTGACAAAAATCTCTCTCTCTCATGGAAGGTTCCTGTGGATGCATTTGGTTCCCCACCAGTTTCCCATTAACATTTTCCGTACCAAAGGTGTCCTTTCCTTTCAGATCCTGCATAAAACATAAGATGTCTATAAGAGGTATCTAAGTCTACAAAAGCATTCTATCAACTCGTGTCTCAACCATCCTCAAATCTCAAGCTGACCCAAGATCCCCCTTTCACACTTCACTCCGTTCTTTTTCCTTCTTTCAAGCATGGCACTCCTAAATTTCGAAGCTCTGAGAGACCTCCACGACTTTTCCAACGACCTCCTTCATTCCCCAACGACCCAACAAGCTCTACTTCGCCATTGTCACAAGAGATGGATCAATATCTCTCAGAAGCGTCTCTAACTATTTTGGACGCCTGCGGAACGTCCAAAGAGGTCATCCTTCTAGTGAAGGAGCACATACAAGATGTAAGGTTTTCATTGCGGCGAGCACCTAGTGGTGAACTAGGCAACGAGAGCCCAGTAGCAGGCTACTACCCTAGGAGAAAGAAGTTAAAGAAAGTGACAGTGAAGTGCCTGCGCTCACTGAAAGGAACGAAAGACAAGTTCTCCAATCTAGACCTTTCTCCGGTCAATCACACCCTCAACATCGTGCCGGAAGTGCTAAGAGAAGTGAGGGCAACAGTCATAGCTGTGGTGGAGTCGCTGTCGTCCCTAGTAAGTGTCCCCTGGCTGGACAGAAGATTGGGCAAAGGGTTTGGCGCAACGAAGCTCATGTTCTCAAGTAGCCGGAACCCATGCAGTGTCTGGGATGTCACTATTCTACAGGACTTGGAGAAAAGGTTGGAAGAGGTAGAAATAGCGGGGTAAGTACAGCGCAAGTGCCATAACTTTTGTACGGAGGACACTTAAGTGCCATAACTTTTTTTTGGCTCACTTGAGTGCCATAACTTTCAAAAAAAAGATCACTTAAGTGCCACTTACGAGCTAGTTATGAGGGCCCGAAACTGCGGCTTTTCCGGCCGAACAATGACCTTCCCGGTGAGGTGAGCACTACCAGTTTGAAGAGAGGGTATCGGTGAATCATTCCATGGCCTTCGTTCGTCTCGAAATTTCCGTCTTAGCCTCCGTTGACGAAGGTAAAAATGTTTCGTAGTCACACATTTATCGAGCCGATTTGTGTGACTATGAAGCATTTTTACCTTCGTCAACGGAGGCTAAAACGGAAATTTCGAGACGAACGGAGGCCATGGAATGATTCACCGACACCCCCTCTTCAAGCTAGTGGTGCTCGCCTCGCCGGGAAGGTCACCGTTTGGCTAGAAAAGCCACAGTTTCGGGCCTCACGAGCAACCCCTCTGACAAGCTAATCGTGAGGGCCTGAAACCGCGGCTTTTCCGATCGAACGGTGACCTTCTCGGCGAGGCAAGCACCACCAACTTGAAGAGGGGGTGTCGGTAAATCATTCCATGGCCTCCGTTCATCTCGAAATTTCCGTTTTAGCCTCCGTTGACGAAGGTAAAAATGCTTCGTAGTCACACAAATCGGTTCGATAAATTGTGTGACTACGAAAAATTTTTACCTTCGTCAACGGAGGCTAAAACGGAAATTTCGAGACGAACGGAGGCCATGGAATGATTCACCGATACCCCATCTTCAAGCTGGTGGTGCTCGCCTCGCCGGGAAGATCACCGTTCGATCGGAAAAGCCGCGGTTTCAGGCCCTCACGACTAGCTTGCCAGAGGGGTTGGTCGTGAGGGCCCAAAACCGCGGCTTTTCTAGTCAAACGGTGACCTTCCCGGCGAGGAGAGCACCACCAGCTTGAAGAGAGGGTGTCGGTGAATCATTCCATGGCCTCCGTTCGTCTCAAAATTTCCGTTTTAGCCTCCGTTGACGAAGGTAAAAATGCTTCGTAGTCACACAAATCGGCTAGATAAATGTGTGACTACGAAGCATTTTTACCTTCGTCAACGGAGGCTAAAACGGAAATTTCGAGACGAACGAAGGCCAGGGAATGATTCACCGACACCCCCTCTTCAAGCTGGTAATGCTCGCCTCACCGGGAAGGTCATTGTTCGGCCGGAAAAGCCGCGGTTTCGGGCCCTCACGACTAGCTCGTAAGTGGCACTTAAGTGATCTTTTTTTTTAAAAGTTATGGCACTCAAGTGAGCCAAAAAAAAGTTATGGCACTTAAGTGTCCTTCGTACAAAATTTATGGCACTTGCGCTGTACTTACCCCGGAAATAGCCATTGACGATCTCGAGCTAGAGTTGGATTCCATGTTCAGACGCTTAATCCAGACGAGAGTTTCACTTCTCAACATCCTCAGCTACTAGGAGGGACATATCTCATCTGCACTTAGTGGCTAAGCCAGGGCAGACCTCCAGGGTGTTGTAATGCACAATGAGCTCTAGCTAAACATTAACTCTGAATAATAATATAATCAACTATTGTAAAATATGGATAAAAAAAAGAAAAAGAAAAAGGGGTTGAAAAGTCAAAGAAAAGAAAGAAAGTGGAAATTGCTTTATAAAAGGAAAAGCAAGGCAAAGAGAGAGAGAGAAGACCGAGAGCTCACTCGGCTGAAAACCGAGAAAGAAGAAAAGAAAGAGAGAGGAAAAGAGAAGGAAGAAGAAGAAGAAGAAGAAGAAGAGAGGGTTTTGCGCAGCGGGACCTCGCCAAGCCGATTCGACCTCGTATCGCAACGCCCGATAAGCACTTGTGCCCCTCGTTCGTCCGATCGGAGAAGTTTTCCGATTTAGGGTTTAAATTCGGAATTTTGGAAAAATCGAGCGGCAAAATCCGATTTTTGAGTCGTTGAGCGGCATATATATATAGAATTGATAGTTTAGGGTGTCGTGGAGCCGTGGGATTTTACGGATCTTGATTTGGACCTACGGTTTGCCCAATATGAATTTATGAAGTTGGCCGCACAAGGTGAACAGTGCGCGACCAGAGGCTCTTAGGTCGATTTTCGTCCATTTTTGGCTCGATTTTGGAACTGCCAAGTTGGGGCTTTTGTAATACTCGGAACGGGCTTTCTTTTGACTATAAGTTTGCTAGGATCGAAGCTCGATGGAGGAAGTTATGGGGCGATCAAGCTTCGCGTTGCGGACGATTTGGATAATCGTTTTGGATGAGCAATTTGTGGGCGCTTTTGAGTTGTCCTGTTAACATTTAAGCATCGTTTGGCCGTTTCGTAATTATCGTAGTATTTTACTTGGTTTTGACATCGATTCTCGTTTAATTATTAGGGTTACGAGATCGTCGGTTCGAGTGAGCGTCGTTGTGTGATTTTTGGGGATTCCAGGTGAGTGGTGCTATCTCTTCTTTGAGTTTATAAAATCATATTTTGAAAATGATAAGAATTTGAGTGTTATATGAGTTACTGGAGCATATTTGTTGTATAAAATTCTGGATCGGGCAATTACTACAAGTTTGATATTTGAGAATGATTTGAGAAAATTGAGAATGGTTTTAGGAAAAATATTGTTAACGGATACATGTGTATTATGTTGCGAATTGATTTATAAAACGAGTTTTAAGATGATTTGAGAAACGTTTTATGAAAAACGTTACAAAAAGTTACTCATATCAATTTGTGAATTATGTTTATGAAATGATATATATGTATCACTTTGCGAAATGATTATGGAAGTGTATTGTGATTTATGAAATGGTTTTGGAACCATATTATGATTTATGAAATGATTTGAGAAATGGTTTGAGAAATGGCGGATGAGCCGTGTTGCGAGAAAGTTATTTGTTTGGTTTGTGAAATGTATTCTGGATTGGATTTCTGATATTGGATGATGATTGTTTGATGCTCAATATCGCTGTGAGCCCAATGAGGGGCTTTGGGAGTATGCATACCGAGTTTAGGATATCCTTCTAGGCCGAGCCACCAGCTTTGTAGGTGGAGACCTTGCCAAGGGGGGAATCTTGGTAGCCTTGTCGCAAGGCTTTGTGTCGTGACCATGGTTAGATATTGAGCAATAGATTGGTCGATGGAATGGACCATCGACGTGTGATGTTATATGAGATTTATCAATGGAATAGACCATTGATGTGTGATTTGATATTAGTCAATGGAATGGATCATTGATGTGGTTTTTATAGAGATTGATCAATAGACTTGACCATTGATAGTTTGAATTGTGATGATGGATTTAAACGTGTATTTGGGACTTGTATAAAGCTTTGATGAAATAAAATAACTCGTATTTGATTGATATATATATATATATTATATCTTTGGATTGAAGTACGAGTTTCTGGTATGGCTTTATGTATACATGCATAGTGGTTGCTCGATCTGCTTAGAAGAGATACGCACTGCTTACTGAGCTGTGGTTGCTCACCCCTCTTTTTCCTCAATCTTTTCAGGTTCCTTGGTTAGTAGCCAATAGAGCGAGAGCGATGTCGTTGGGACTTTTTGGGAGTCGGATTCCTTGTGGTTTGAGGCTGCGTCCTTCGGGTGGAAGGACGGCCGTGTCACCCCTCATCTTGGTAGGTTTTGGGGTGTGACAACTATAGTCTAATCGTGATGTATTCTTTCGTTCTTTCAAATGAAGTGGTCGTCCCATCTCAAATTTGTGCTCTTCTCTCTTTCTAGCTATATCATCTCCCAAATTGATTTTTTTCTTTCTGTGTATATAACCATCTAACAGTGCACTCGAGCATGGCACATTCCCTACACTCTAGTAATTTAATGACCATCTCTTACAAAGTATCGACTTGTTCATGTGCCTTAAAAGAAATGCATTACGACTAAAATTTCCTTACCAACGCCCTAACATAGTTTTCCATAGCAAAGCAACTGGTTGACTAATCACGTGTCCTATAAATATTTACCTATGTAAAATGAGTTTAACAAAGTCTAGTTTCCTTACAAAATGTTATCATATTTATTCGTACTGAGACTTGGAATCATCATGGCAAATTACGTAAGAAAACTAGTGATTTAAGCCCCACTTTGTAAGATGACACTTTGATCATTCTTCCTGTTTTTCCTGTACTTGGAGTTTTGTTTTCGCTGTAACTCAACCTTGTTAATTAGTAATAATCCTACGAGAAATCTTAAGGTCAACGTCAGTACACAAATCGTTGACTGGGGTCAAAGATTAAACATATGAGAACAAAACTAAATTTCCAAGACACAAGATGCCTATTAGGAGGGAAAATTAGCTGAGCATATAGTGCCGCGGGCCCTGTCTCGAAGCCATCAAGCTGGAGGAAAGCTGGCTCCTATCTAGATATATCTGATACAAAACTTAGCAGATATAATTTCGAAACAAAATCGAGAATATATGATGTCCACTCACGGAATGTAGATGCGAAAATGTTACACGGGATCGATATGCTCCGATCCAATTGATGCTCAAAACTTGTGCACATAATAATATATCACTGATTATGGAAAAGGGATATAATGACACAAAGGGAAAAGTGTCAAAAAAGTCTTAAATCTTTGGCATTTGTGCCAATTTAGTCCTGAACCTTTTTTTGGTGCCAATTCAGTCCTAAACATGTAACATTGGTGCCAATTTAGTCATAAACCTTTTTTTAGTGCCAATTTAATTATAAACCTTTTGTCTTTGTACTAATTCAGTCATTCCAGCCAATTTTGGCCAGATTTTGCTAATATGGACGCCGACCGGCCACCAGCGCTGACGTGGACAACTTTTAATGATATTTTTTAATTTTATTTATATTTTTCTTTTCTTTTCTTTTTTTCTCCTCTCCCTCCTTCCTCCAGCCAGTCACCGAACCAGCAACCGACCAGTGGCCAGAGGTCGGCGGGGCTTGCCCTCGCCGGATGGCCGCGAGGGCGGCCTCGCACTAGGCGGGCGAGGCTCGAGCCTCACCAAATCTAGCGAGGCCCTACCTCGCTAGATCCGACGAGGTTGGGCCTCGCCCAGCCACTAGTGAGGCTCGAGCCCTCATTGGAGGCCTTCGACCTCGCGGCCTCTGGCAAGGTCGAGCTTCGCCCAGCCGTAGGCGAGGCTCAAGCCCTCGCCGGAGGCCGCGAAGTCGAAGGCCTCTGGCGAGGGCTCAAGCCTCGCCAGCGGCTAGGTGAGGCCCGACCTCGCCGGATCTGGCGAGGTTGAGCCTCGCCAGCAGCTGGGCGAGGCACAACCTTGCCCCACCATGGCGAGGCTCGCCTTCGCCGTCGCTGGTGAGGGTGAGCCTCGCCAGTGGCCGGTCACCGGTCCAGTGACCGGCTGCAAGAAGGAGGGAGGGGAGGGAAAAAAAAGAAAAGAAAAAAGAAATAAATAAAAATTCAAAAAAATATTAAAATATTATTAAAAGTTGTCCACGTCAGTGCCGGTGACCAGCTGCCGGCCGGCGTCCACATCAATAAAATCTGACCAAAATTAATCGGAATGATTGAATTGACACAAAGACAAAAGGTTTAGGACTGAATTGGCACAAATGCAAAAGGTTTAGGACTGAATTTGTACCAAAAAAAGGTTTAGGACTAAATTGGCACCAATGCAAAAGTTTTAGGACTGAATTAGCACCAAAAAAAGGTTTAGGACTAAATTGGCATCAATGCCAAAGGTTTAGGACTTTTTTTACACTTTTCCCATGACACAAATGATCCTTGAACTTTGACCCAATATGTAATTTGGTCATTGAACTTTTAATTTGTTCATTGCGGTCCCTAAACCTTTAACTTATTCAATATGGTTCCTGAACTTTTGATACATATTCAACTTAGTCCTTAAACTGAAAATGTTCGCTTTTGTCATTTTATTAATTGAAGTTCAAGGATATAGTTCGGAGACTAAGTTGAACAAGTAACAAAAGTCAATAGACTACATTGGACAAATTAAAATTTTAGGGACCACATTGCACATTAGGTTACTATTTATGGACCACATTGAATAAATTGAAAGTTCAAAGACTACATTAAACATTGGGTCAAAGTTCAGAGACCATTTATGTTATTTTTCCTATGGATAAAGAGCGGAAGGAAATGTTGCAGCTCGGGTAAAGATCCTTCCATCAAAAGCTTCCTGACAACAAGCCTCAAGCGTTTTACTACCTTCAAATTCTGCTGAAAGCTGGACTGTGATCCCAATCGAACTCCAGCGCATCAGACCAACATATCCTAAGAGCTTGACCAACACGACAGAAGAGCCTGATTGTGTAGCTTAGGCTTATGATATAACCTTGCAACACCCAAGTCGCGCATTCAAGAGCTGCGACTTGAGCTGCGACTTGATTTATAGGTACAATACACCCCGAATAAGTCAAGAATTCCTTTCCAGAACATGGCCTACGTAAATTTCGCCTATGGCTCTTGCTTTTGGCTTTTATCTTGCTCATAGCTCTCGCAAAATTAACATTGTGGCAGTTCTCGCTTTTAAGATTGGACTCAGTGCGGTTTTTTCACTAAATAGTGAAACTAAATAAAGTATGTTCCCGAATCCTTACTGGTGTTGATAGTTTCCATATGCATCTTTAATGAAACGGTAAAGGCACAACATACTTCTGGTTAGTACCTGCTGCAGTTCGAATGAATGTACCAACAACTCCTGCACAAGTATTTACTCACTCGTCTTAAATTGTCAATGATCACTGCAGTTTCAGTACGCCATTCCAGATGCAACTTCTTTTCCCGGAGAAGAAGCAATGACGGTTTTGAACGCTGCTATCAGTAATTGCTCTAATGTTATACATGAGGGAAATGCAACTGGTCCACTAGAATTGGTTACCTGGATAGTTAAGGTGCAAAAACAATTTTTGAGGCTGCAGAGACTACTCCGCTAATTTGAATACAATAAACCAGATTGTCACCCAACTTTTTCAGGAAAAATTATGCAAGCAGCTGTCAAGAACCGAATAGAATGCTCAAGTATAAGCTTTTGCACACCGAAAATGTTTAGCATCCTTACAAGCTAACAGAATTGCTGTTATGAGATCATAAATCTCACAGAGATCTTTATTTGAACTCAAAGGAACACAGATAATCCAGATACACTGCGTTAGAACCCCTGGCTTTTTTGTGTTATCCCTTTCCGGCTTTTCAATGGGATGCCTGCAAAATATGAAAGAATTAACCATAATTGCATGTTGCTGAATAAAGGTTGACATGAGGATTCTCCTATATACACTAGGCTGTCGTGCTTAGTTCACTTTTTGTTTTTAAAAAACAAAAAAGAATATCTAGCGACTGAAGCTAAAGCACTTTGAGCAATTTGTGAGTTTCAATCGATATGCCATGCCAGCCACCAGTTTTAAAAAGTACGATGGAACAGAATGCAAGTAACTAAGAAATTATAGTTTGTCTCTCTAATTAAATGCTATGTTAAACAAAACAAATGTGCATATACAAGCCACCTGGTGGCAGAATATGTACAACAGTTGCAGAGGTCAGTTTCCTTTAAAATTCCAGCATCTACCTATCAACAAAAATGAACTGAACAGCCACTCAGGGATCCATGAATTATACACCATCCCTCTTCAGAGCCTAAAATATCGGTATCCAGAAGGTGTAGATCTGCACAACTTGAGCTCTCCCCTTAATTCCAAATGAAAATCTTACCGCTTGGTTGATAATTGAGGTTTAAGATAAAAAAAAAAATGGCCTCAGCACTTTCCATTCAGGAATCACACAGTTAAGGATAGATTTTGGTTAATAAATTAAAATACATTTCAATACACACACACATACACCTGCATGAGAACCACCATATGCAGAAGTTTTTTTCCTTAACATGAGCTCTTAAACCTCTTATTTCAGAAGATAAAGATAGATTATCATGTTATTGGTCATTTGACAGAAAACCAAGGATAGGAAATTCTCATAAGTTCAGCTCACAAAAATCAAGCATCAGGAAGCAGTAATATTTACCTCGTGATCATGTCCATGTACATGTCCATGGCCATGGGAGTGATCTTCATGACCCTCCCAAGGATGTCGCCAACCCTATACACATAGCAAGAAGCCAAAACCAACTCAGATGAAGATCAACTACAGGTTAAAAAGGATCATTTGGGTAGAGGAACCGAGAAGTTGTCTTACCAGTACTACAGGCCCATCTTGCTTAGCCCTGTACAGGACCCAAAACCTATAATGCACAATTTAAACTGAGTCAAAATTTTGCTTCATGGAGATTTATATTCTAATTTCACCACTATAATGACCTTTCAAGGTTACCTTCTGAAATCAGCCGAAAACAGATTTTGTATTTCACTCAGAAACTAAAACATTTTGTCCAAAATTGGAAGCACACTGAATAAAGAGCAAAACTTTGAAGCATGATCCACAACATTAAGGTATACTAATGGGATTGAAGAAGCTTCGAGCTAAGGCACATTGATTATCACTTTCATTGTGCTATAGGATGGGATGTCACCCAAGAGATAAGTAAGTTGTTTAGTGTGCTTGGTGTGGCTATGGCTAGCATGACTTTTTGACTTCAGTTGTGACTTTAGTTTACACTTTTGGAATTACCTTCGACTGTTATTAAATCAATGTTTTGAAGTTGAGCTATGACTTCAAGTGGAGAAACAGAAAATCTTAAAAATAGCTCATTTTCACATGCTGAAAGTATAATTAAGATACTAAAAGTATTTTAACTCAAAAAGCAGAAACTAGCGAGGACTGTGTCCCTCCACTTTTCTTCTAGGTGATGTACCCATGACTAAAGGATATGTCGTGGCTACGGATAGGGAATGCTTCATCCCAACCTCGAAATTTTCTATTATTGCAGAACTACTACAAATCTAAATCACCATAACAAAACTATCGAACAAAGAGTATGAAAAGAATTTGAAGGGTGATAATTGAGTGTCCGAGAAAATGTAGAACATCTAGTCATATTTTGCTTTGTACGAGTGTAAATGCACACAAATTGTATGTAACCAAGTAGGATTTGCGTTTTAAACATCCATATGCCGAGACCACGATCCCACATATTGATCCATAGACGAGTCAGATTCAAGGTTACTTATCTGTACCGGGCACCTACATCCGTGTCTGAGTAACAGAGAGCAAGAGTAGTGTACTTTTTATTGGATTTTGATGGCAAAAGTAGCTTATTAACTCAAAAGCTACAAGCCAGAAGCAAAATTTTGCGGTGATATCCATCCAAAACAGCCACTCATTATAGTTCACTGTCCACCGGCAGGACTGTGCGCTTTCCTTTGGCCAAAAGATGGAGCTGCACGGCTCATCCTATAACTAAAAGAAGACATTAAGCCTTGTTCCTTTGCATGCAATGAAAATTCTTGTCAAATATTAATTTCCATGTAACTAACATTTGGTCGAATCTATCTTCTATTTATCCAACCATGGCTGATTTATGCGTGATTCTGATAAAAATGTACGATGTACAATTGCATTATCCAGAAATGCACGAAATTAGCTTGGGAGTTCAGTGCGCTTCTTCTATTGCACGCCATCTCTCATCACCACACGTGCTTCTACACTTCGACCATCATGCACAAAACTCTTCACTTTCTCCGTAGTAATATACCTTTCCTTCTTCATCTAATTTATCAATGTCTATTAACCAGTCCCCTTTCCAAGCCGGTCCCCCATCCGACGGCTTGATAGATCAGAGTGAAGCAAACTACTCGACTAGACCAAGCCACTCCAAACTACATCCTAAAAAAGATTTCGACTTTAATCACCAATTGAAACCAGAAATAAAACCCCTTGCATAAATGTCGCGTCATCTGACGATACCCAAGTCAAGACACCCAATTTTACACCCAAAAGTTCCTACTTCCAGATCGCCCCATTCGCATAATCAAATGAATCTGCAAAATCCAGCACGCGCACGCGCACAGCCCATCGACAAACGCAAACAAAAATCACCGACGCGAACCCAATCGAACAGAGGAGCGCCCTCGGAAATCGCTACCGCGAGCCGAGGAACGCGTCACGACAAAAACACACATCCCGCAACGCGATCGAAGAGGGGGACAAAATCGGGGCGGCGACTCCGGAACCCGAGAAGCATCGCGAGCTTACCACATGACGGCGCACAGGCCCTTGCCGGTGACGGTGTGCCACCGCTTGGGCTGGTGCACGGTGATGCCCTTGTAGGTCGTGCCCCCTCCATGTCCGCCTCCGCCCATCTTCTCTCTCTCTCTCTATCTCCTCTCACTCTCCGGCCACCACGCTCAACAGCGAGGAATGAAAGAACCGAACTTCGGAGCTAGCTAGACAGAGACACACACAGAGTGTGGTTCCGCTTTGCAAAATGGGCCTCGGGAACCCGATGGATCGACCGCTCCGACCCGTATGATGTTGACGGTGGGCCCGAAATTTCGGCCCGGTCACGGGAGAGTTTCTGCACTTGGGCCCGAAAGTTTCGGCCCGTCCCGATTGAGCCCTTTGCAGTTTGCACCATTTAAAGCATCTGATTTTTCCGACCCCAAAAAAAAAGAGAATAATTTCAGTGATGTCTCAATTTGAGCCCCTAATCCAAATTAATTTTCTTGACGAGCATCCGTGTACTCTAGAAATCAGTCTCGAAGCTAAAAACCGGTCGCGGCGACTGGTGAGAGGAGATTGGCGGAGTTAGATAACAAGGCCTAGGCCCTCGTAAACTGTTGAATTTGGGTGAAAAATTACATGTTAAAGCCCTGATTTTTATTCCGAGATTGATTTTTTGTGAATTTTATATGGACGATTCGAAATTGCGCAAGCATGTGCACTCGCGTCCGATGAACAGTGCTTGCCAATGGGGTAGGAGGGCTTTTGCAAAGACATTAGGGACGGATTCAGGACAAGTTCGTGATTGAGATTTTTCAATTTGAGCTCTTGGGTAATTTGCTAGTGTTTTTTTTTTACCCATCCAATTCTATATAATGTAAGATGTATGAATTGCATTTTGTTGACGTGGCCTCCTTAGAGTCATGAGTTGATTTTATTTTATTTTTTGGTAAAATGTAAGTATTACAAAATCAATGAAGTACAGTAGCTTAGGGGCATTTCTTAGCATTATAAATAGAGCTAATGATTCGAAAATATGGAGGTAAGAAGTCTCCATATAGTAGCCAATATAACATTTGATTGGGAATGTCTAATTTTTTGATAAAGCGAGGCTCTACCTCTTACATTTTTTCGCACCTTTGCCAAAACGATATGGCTGTCAGTAGACTTGTTTTGAAAATGTCTTCTACTGCGTTCCATCCAAATGCAATAGATGGTTGCTATGACATCCCGAAATTTCGTGGGATTCATTAGTGATGATTCGTGAATTGAAATTAGTAATGGTCAAGGATCGATTATGCAATTATCGAGACATTTAAGGAATTTCGGTGATATATGCTTGGCATATAATTGATTTGAAAATTTTGGAGAATTCATTAGACAATTGAGGGGCCTTATTTCAACCATATGTATATATGTGTTGTGATTATTTAATGATGATTAGGGACAATGGCCATTACTGTTTGTCTTATGTAGACATTTTGTACATTTGAATTAAACATTATAAGACACAATTTGTGCCCCTATTACCCCCACGTATGGCTGGCAACTTAGTCCCCATCTTTACATGCAAAATTAGAGAAATTAAAGCCAATTAATTATGAAGGGTTGCTTATGTCTACCAATGAAGCTTCATGCATAATGACAAAGCTTGCATAACACTCCTTCTTGAAGTTAATGATGAAAGCTTGCATGACATGCACTCATTCTTGAAGTTAATGATGAAGCTTGCTTAACACACTCCATCTTTCCCCTTAACTTTCAGCCGAACTCTCTCTCTCTCCCTCACCTTTCATTTTCTCAATTTCCTCTCATCTCTCGTTTTCTCTCTGGCCGCGATCCTCCTCTCTCCACCAATCTCGAGTTTCTTCATTTTCTTCCTCTTGAAGCTCACGGCTAGGACTCAAGGAAGGAGAAGTAGGTTCTAGAAGTTCTAAGACAAGGATATGAAACTCATTTCTAAGCCTTCCAATCTTCCTACACCCTTGATTTTGCTATAATTGAGTTGTAAATGCAATTTGGTAGCCTACATGTGTGGTTCTCGATGTTTATTGTGCATGAATGGGTATGACCAAACCTAGAAATGAAGTGCATGTGTGTTCTTGAGTTCCAAATGGGTGTTGCATGTCCATTCAAGTTGCTAGGTATAAGTTTTGTTGAATCAAATTTGGTGATTTTCCTATTCGGACTCAATTCTTATTCTTGTTCTGGAAAACCCAGATTTGAGTCCTCTATACCTCTTCGTTTTGTTATTTTTGTGGAGAATTTTGTGGACCAAATTTCCAGAAATTTCCTCTTCAAAGTTGTTCCAGATATCTTTAAGTTTAACATATTTTAATTTCAGAATTTTTGGACTTGATATGAGTAGTACGAAAGCCTAGTTTTCGAACCGTGTAAAACTGTCCAGAATGGGTATTTCTGTGATGTTTACACTTTCTCGATTTTCTACAAACTTTCTTAGCCAAGTTTGAACAAACTTCCTTCACAAAATTTCTCGAGGACTTCTTCATCTACAACATATAAAAATTTAAGAATTTTTCAAGATGTTTTGAGTATGGTAAAGAACTGATTTTGTGGAACAACGGTTCTGTTCAAGTAAGAAATTTTTAGTCTGTCTTTGAGTTAGTGAATGAGATACTTACAAAAATATTTGGACTTTGATTTCTTCATGAAAAATGTTTATCCAGGTGTCTTTTATAACATATTCAAATTTTAGAATATTTATTTTGAAGGAATTTCCATTACTGTGTAAAATTGCCCAAACTTACCCAATTTCAAAAATGCACCGTTTCTCACGTGAAACCCTGGGAATTTGGATCTGGTGATTTAATGTGCCCATTTTGAGCTTTCTAATGAGATATGATTAACCTTGATGTGACTTCAAATAATGGGACAAATGTGATTATGCATGTGATGGCAGAATTTGGAATATGGTGTGAAAGTTGCCATGAGTTAAAAAGGTGTCACATTACCATAGTGGCATGGTGTTATGTACACATGAGTTATTATATTTGCATGTTGTGTCATGTACTGATTATGTACGAGATATTTGGGCAATGTGAATGTGATGCCTACGGTCGATGAACCGTGATTGCCTCGAGGAGTCGAAGGGAAAGCGGGATGCCCGGTTATGGGAACTGGATGCCTAGGAGGATTTTGCCCTAGATGCTCTGGGAGTGTGATCGGGATGCCGTGATTAGTGGACTATGAAGCCTACGCGGGCCGGTGAGAATACCGGTGTACACCACGGCAAACCGGAGAGCGCACCGAACCCTGCTAGACGAGAGATATTCCTCCTTGCGTGACTGACGAGCGCACCGGGCATGTGTCTTGGAGTTGAGATTTAAACCCCAAGTGAAAAGATAAATCGCATGTGTTTGTATGCTTCATATGATTGCCTGTTAACATTAACTTTTGGTCTTTACGCTCCAAAATCAGTGATAGAAAGAGTGAGTCATGTACATTGCAATAGGCTTGCATGTTGGATTAGATATCATCCTGAATGATTCTATTCAAATTGCTTGACACTTATGATCTTCAAAAGATGTTATTAATCATACTTGTTTGCCTAAAATTGATATCATGTAGGTGTGTCTTAGGAATCGAGAGTTAGTAAGATCGGTCGGTTTATAAACTGCTCTTATCTCTTGCTGAGCTATGGCTCACTCCCATTGATTTACATTTTTTTTTTCAGATAACTAGAATGAATATCCCTTCATTGGAAGATATTACGAAACTAGGATCGACCTTACTTATTACTCACTTTTTGGCTATAACCGTGAGGCTGAGTGATTGAAGATTGGTGGAAACCATAGGTTTCACTTGGATGGCATAGAAGGAGTGGGACACCTTTATGACCTCCCAGACGTTGTCTTTTGTTATGGTGTTTGATGATGATGTCATCCAAATCATCCTTGTATACAAATAAAAAGTTTGGAAATGCAGATGTGGTATTTTGTTGTGGATGTGTCCACTGAACAAGAAATGTTTAATTTGATTGTGTATTGTCTCCCGCTTGTGCTTTAAGTGAAAAGACTAAAGAAAACCTTAGTATGTGATGCTCTGGGACGTCACAGTTACTAGAAAGGACATCTTGATAAGTCTTGCCGTCAAGTCTTTGCCCTTTATTACTCTAATCATCCATTGAAGCTCAACATTCCATCCCCCTAAAGGACGCATAATCCCTTGTTGTGCAAGGATATTGCGCCATATGCTGCCTGTCCACTCACAGTGGAAGAACAAATGTGTTCTGTCTTCTGCACTAGCGCTATAGAAATGACATTGGATATCAATGGAAGACATCCATTGGGCGACGATCTCTGCTGTCGATAGTTTGTTTCTGCAAACTAGCCAACCAATAAAATTGTGTTTGCTAATGCCGCTGGAACAAATTAGGTTATACCACTCCACAGCTAGTTCCACATACCTGAGTTTGTCATATACATCACAGCAACAATAACTTGAGATAGTGATAATCGGGGTTAGAACGGGTCACAATTTCAGGAGGCAGTGCCAACTCCATGCCATATTGCCCTTAATGTTGACCTGCATAATTGGAGTGCATCTACATTTGGTGTTGTGAATCCATATACTCCAAAGTGAAGAGGACGGATGATTGACGAGGTTCCATCATGCAGCCCAACAATACTTCGTTCCATTTGTTCAGATTTGGTAAACTCAATCCTCCTTCCCTTTTAGGTGAGCAAACTACTTGCCATGCAACCTTGTGCGATCTATGATCTACTGCATTATCGGCCCATAAGAATTGTCCTGAGTTGATTTTCTTCTTCTCTAATTTGAAAGATGAGAAAGTACAGTGACATGACATTTGAATCATGATTTTAAACTTTTTATTTTTTTAAGATAATGACACAAGCAGTTCATGAAATTTGGCCAAATGTGCAATGATTCATAAACGTTTAATTTGTTTAATGTAATCATTGAACTTTAGCCTAATGTTCAATGTGGTCCATGAACTTTTAATTTATTTAATGTAGTACATGGATTTTTGGTACATGTTCAATGTAGTCCCTGAACTACATAAAAATGGTCAATGAAGCCCCTGAACTTAAATTAATGGAAAGACTACATTGGACAATTTCATATAGTTCCAGGACTAAACTGAACATGTACCAAAAGTTCAGGGATAACATTAAACAAATTAAAAGTTCATGGACCATATTGCACATTGGGCTAAAATTCATGGACCACATTGAACATTAGATTAAAGTTCAGGGATTGTTTGTATCATTTTCCGACTTTATTTTTTATGTTTTCATTTCAAATAGGAAAGTACGTAACGGGTGGTATTCTTTATTCATATAGATCGATGTAATAAAACGTCACCAAACACCGAATCAAGATATTTTATCCAAACTATCGAACGCAGCCTTTAGGAATTTATTGAAGCGATTTTACTTCTGATCTTTGTAAATGTGATCTTATATTTCGTCTAATGCTCCACATTTACAATTTATTGTATGAGAATCCAAAAACACCGTGTCGGTGGAGTATTGAGACCTTTGACTCGACTCATCTTTACGATGTATAGGAACCCCAACCACATGCATGTGATAAGGTCCCCTCTAGAGATGGATTTCAAGGGGCCTAATCGGTACGACCACTCACTTAGCTACTCCGGTGTTTAGTGCAATTTTCATAAATTGTGTATTATAGTTTGATGAAGTTTTCGATAAAATCTCTTAATTTCAAACCCCCCCACCCCCACCCGGCACCAAAGTGTTGAAATTTTCTTTATTCTGCGTTTGCCACCCGTTCAACCCATACGGTGCCGGGCATGACCCCAAAATTACTCTCGGAACGAAATAAAAAAAGAGAGCAATTTAAAGTTCTAAACTTGTGCTTTGCTTTATTTAAGAGAAAGGGCGACCTCAAGTCATCATCCCCAATCTAGAAGACATATGAGAAGAGAACGCGTACAAGTGGGAAAGCGATGTTGTTTGACAAACCTCGCAACCGCATTTCTGTTTAAACCAAAACTGTGTTGACTTCTCAGTCTGTCCTGCGACTCTCTGCATCTGCATTATGGCATTGATTGCATCGATCAGGAAGTTGCCTGTTTTTTCCACGGTCCATCAAGCCCGGAATCGCAGGTTTTTCAACGCTTTTCGAGAAGCATAGAGTTTTTAAATCAGATCGGAAACCCACGCTCCTTTCCTCTAGGGTCAAGCATCCAATGCCAACCGTCCACATCGATCGATAGATAGAAAAATTAAAAAGGAAGAACGAAAAAACTGTTGGGTCGAAATCGAAGTGGTCGGCTGACCACGGCATGTAATCCAATGTGAAGCCTGTGAATCATCAATGAAGAGGGGGGTAGGAGCTGAGAAACATGTGACTCTTGGTCCCCATGTCAATTAAGAGGATTTCTATCACATCTATTTTGTAATTGCGTGCGAGTTATAATGATCGGACCTGAGCAGTTCCTTAAATTACTCCATCTCTAAGGTCTCTCCCTGAAATTTTTAGGGATGTAAAACCCTCAAGGGGATATTCCTCACCTACCCTAGGAGGAAAAACATATAGGGAGGAACATGCGGTCCAAGGTTAAAACGGCCGCCGGGTCATTAAAAAATGCGTTGCAGCCTTTGAAAGTGAAAACACCCGATTCTGATGAGGTAAACCTTACCACAATACCAAGGATCCAAGGCCGCCACCGGAAGAGAGTTTGACAAAATGGATGATTAGATAGAGGCAATCTCCAACTTCTGATTATTATTTTTTTTGGGGTCATAATCTCCGACTTCTGATGCAATAGCTCTTTTTTAGGGCAAACAACCTTAAATTCCTTCATAGGAAGATTTTCAACACGCTTAGCAGCTTTCTAACCTGCAAAAAACTCATATTATAGCGAAAGCATACATGAAATGACATTTCATATACATCTAGTCTTTCCACAATTGGCGTCACCCTTGAGCTAGTAGGTGAGATTTGGTGAATAAGCCTCACCATATCAATTCTTTTGATGACGTTCACACGTCCAAAGTTCCGGCAACTTGCTACGGTTCTTTAGTCGTCGTAAACCTAATGATTCGAGTAAAGGAAACATATAAACGTGCGCTAATTCGCAAGAGATTAAACGTTATTGAAAGGATTCTTCGTTAACTTGTTTATTGTGCTTTCAAATAACCAGGGAAGCAGCAGAAGTCAACTGATCAATGAGAGACTTTCTAGAATTTACCTTGAGGAAACAGCTTTAAGAATGATCTTGGGGTTGCTGAATAAGATAGAACCAAGAATCAATAACCACTCCATCATTCTGTGTATAAAGCAGACAGAGTAGTTGCAAAGTTGCAACGTGGAAAAGTTACTCAAAAAGATCGAAAATATCTGAAATGATGAGATTCATGAGCGAGAACCTGCAAAACCCCACATCGAACACAATCAGTCATTTTACTTTTGAGAAGGACGGGCATGTGATCGTAATCCGATTGTGATCATAAAACGTGAAAATCAAAAGCCGTTGATTTGTGTCAACAGGCACACGGCCTGTTGGCATGGGACGGAGCGTTCGAGACTAATAGCTTACAACGGTGAAGATGTAGCGAACCATGCAAATTACTTTAATCCAGCGCCGACTGCGACACGGAAGGCAAGCCACAGGACCTGCACTAAAAGGACAATCAGATCTCCGAAAAGATAGCACAGAGGGTCGCTTCAATTCGATCCGTATTGGCTCTTGCTTTTCATCGACTGTCATGTTCATTCACATAAAAGCTGTTGATTGATGCTCGTGAATCTGGTTGTTAAAAGTTGATCATTTTCCGCCAATCCCTTGAGAGAATATCTCCTTCAACAACTTGGTCCTTGGTTGGTCGTGTAGCTTCTAGTTGTTGAGGCTAATCTTTCTGATTACCAATAATCAGGCTGCCCGCAAATGCTCTCACGGGTACGTTATTGACTTTAATGATCAGCTCGATCTTGAAGCTGCTCAACATAAACTTAAGTTCAACAGAAGCCCTAGATTTTTCAAGAACCGTGCCAAAGATTTGAATACTTTAATGATCAGCTCGATCTTTCTTTGATTCAGCCAACAGCAAGAAAAGCAACTTAAAATAGCATAAAACAGAAGAAAACTTGCATCAATAATTGCAGCAGCCTTCCTACAATCTCGCCGTTCCGACGATTGTCGACCTGAGGCTCTTTGATTCAACGTCAACAAATAAGCACTTCCACTACGTCATGACTGAATAGAAAATTTACATGCTGTTTCAATCAAACTTCCAGAAACAGTAGAATTAAAGTAATACTGTTCTATCTAGAAGATAGTTGCATTTTCTACACAAAAGTTAGCTTTATTCGTTGCGTTGGCAGTAAAACGAGTCCGTCTATTTGACGGATTATTTATCGGGTTTGCTAATAGGGGATGAAATTATCTTACACAGGTATCGTAAATCTCGGAACACATGCAAAGATTCGATATCGTGACAGATTTACTTTGTTACGAATGACTAAAGAAAATTCTCGCATGTTATTGCAGATGATTATATGAATCCACGATCAACGGTATGTTTTCCAGTTTCTAGACGTCCTCTGTGAAGCGTTTTAAGACATATTATAAAGGGCAGGTGGAGGAAAATTCAAGGATAAAGGCATCAAGAAGTCAATCCGATTCCATAAGCGCCGGTCAACAAATGATGCCCACTGAAACCCAAGGTCATCACACCGCCCAATACGCCACTAACTCTCAACTTGACATGCATGAGAAGACTATAAAACCGACCCTCAAGACTCCGAGCAACAACGTGTGAAGGGGCAGGCAAAGAGCGCAAAAGAGAGCGAAAATGGAGGAGGTGATAGAGGATGATTCTGCCGTGCCGTCGGTGCCGCCCGTTTCCGTCCCCCCGATGCAGACGCAGTACAACTCGCCGTCGCTGGCGCGGAAGCCGCTGCTCATCGCGCTCGAGCCCGCAGCGGCGGATAATGACAACAACAACCAAGGGAACAACCGAAGAGGAGGAGGAGGAGGACACAACAGGAACCGGAGCTTCTTCACACCCTTGGGGAGCCCGGTGAGGAAGGCGATACAGATGACGAAGCTCGACCCTCAGGACGCTTGGCTTCCGATCACGGAGTCGAGGAATGGGAACGCCTATTACGCTGCTTTCCACACTCTCTGCTCCGGGATCGGCATTCAGGCCCTCGTGCTCCCTGTCTCCTTCACCATTCTTGGCTGGTAAGAGACTTCGCATTTTTCGCATCGGTCTTTCGCTTTCCCCATTTTTAAGGATAACAATCATCAACTGAACTCTCACCACAAGCGACGAACTTAATCTCCATAAAGTTGTCCATAGAAGTAGTTACCTAAACTCAAAATGAACTTATGCACCGATGTCCAAACCGCTTGCGGAAGACTCGCTTATATGCCGTTCTGCACCGTAACAACTCTTAAAGATCGGGATGCAAGAAAGCGATTCCTCGCAGATCACGTAATCTTGGTATGGACGACATGCCCTGGAGCGGAACCAGAGTGGACTTAGCATGTATGAAAGCCAGCCTAAGACACCGCCTGATCACAAGATCCCAAAGAAGAAATCTCTCGTTTTAAAAGGACAGAAGCCCATGGTGTGATGTTAATCTGAGTCTTGATGTTAATGGTTGCAGGACATGGGGGATCATAAGCTTGACTATAGCATTCATATGGCAGCTCTACACGCTGTGGGTGCTGGTGAAGCTTCATGAGTCCAACGAGACTGGCATGCGCTACAGCAGATACCTCCATCTCTTCAGCGCCGCTTTTGGTAAAAAACTATGTCTTTTTTTTCTCTTTTTACTATAATTTTCCCCTTGTTCCATTGATTTTGCAGCAAAGTGAAAACAGAAGCTTTGACAGAATACACCAGAATTTAACTGAAACAGTTATCTTTTTTATTCTGTTAAATGTGATCAATCGATAAAGAGTGCGTATTTGAGAAAATTTTGAGTAGTTTTACTGAGAAATAATAGTATTTCAACAAATAATGAAAATCCATTAGTTTGAGGCCCCACTCAAAAAAAAATTAAAGCTCACACATCTTTATGTGGTGAGCTTGTGATTGATTTTGTTTGCTATGTTTGGCAGCTGGAAGAACGAGTCTACTATAATATTTTGTACTTCTCAAATCGACAGGTGAAAAAATGGGGAATATATTCGCGGCGTTCCCAATCATGTACCTGTCGGGAGGCACGTGCGTCGCGCTCATCATTGTCGGCGGCTCAACTTCCAAGCTCTTCTTCAAGATCCTGTGCGGCGAGGGATGCACCGCGAAGCCGCTGACGAACGTGGAGTGGTACCTGGTGTTCACTTGCGCCGCCGTCGTGCTGGCCCAGCTCCCGAACTTGAACTCCATCGCCGGAGTCTCTCTGATCGGCGCCGTCACCGCCATCTGCTTCTGCACCATCATGTGGCTGGTGTCGGTGACCAATGGGAGGCTCGACGGAGTGTCGTACGATCCGATGAAGGAAGAGCCGAACATGGCGTGGATCTTCAGCATCTTGAATGCCTACGGGATCATTGCTTTTGCCTTCCGCGGCCATAATCTCACCCTCGAAATCCAGGTACATAAGAAATCATCGCGTGTATCATTTTTGTATACTAGAGATGACTAGTTGTATGCGTAATTCAAGAAAATCAGGTTTGGAAGCGTATTTCAAAGATAGCTAGTTAGTATAATTACGCATTTATGTAAATTAGTGCGTAGGTTCATTTCTTTTTACCAAGTCAAAAACATTTGTTTTTTCATATGATAATGGGTTTGGAAGCAGTCTAGTCGCGGTCGTGTGGACCGTCTTTTTCACGAGGCGTGACTAAGAAGAAAACTAAGCGCGTGGAAGAAGGTAGATAGTTGATAAACTTTTTACTTTTCTCTTCTGCCAAATTCCATCAAATTCAGTTGATTTGAACCGATTAGAGGGTCTAGACTAAAGATTAAGAGAGGGGGAGTCACGAAGAGACTTTGAACTGAGGCCCTAGCACACAAAATTACCATGGTCCACACGAGAAAATTTGAACCTTAGCATAGAAACATGCGGCGTGATGATAGATTAAAACAAATTTCTCCTAGGAAAATCATGTTCGACCTTCGGCACGTGTGGTTGTTGCAGGGGACAATGCCGTCGAATGAGAAGAAGCCGTCGCACGTGCCGATGTGGAGGGGAGTGAAGCTGGCGTACCTCATCGTTGCGCTGTGCCTCTTCCCTCTCGCCATAGGAGGTTACTGGGCTTACGGCCACAAGGTACTCAGTTCATGGAGCAACTGTATGTTACTTCCTCTTAGGTTTTATGCTTAGCATGATCCTGACGAGGATTCATTCTGGTCTGGCTCCGCCGCTGCTTCTTGTATCAGATTCCGCCTAGTGGGGGCATGTTGGCGGCGATCTACGAGTTCCACGGGCGCGACACCCCGCAGGCGGTCCTGGCCCTGACGAGCCTGTTCGTCATCGTGAATGCCGTCAGCTCCTTCCAGATCTATGCGATGCCGATGTTCGACGACATGGAGTCCAAGTACACCGGGCGGATGAACAGGCCGTGCCCGTGGTGGCTCCGCGCCCTGTTCCGGGTCATGTTCACGTATGGGTGCTTCTTCGTGGCGGTGGCGATCCCGTTCCTGGGCAGCTTCTCGGGCCTGATCGGGGGCATCGCGGTGCCCATAACCTTCGCCTACCCGTGCTTCATGTGGCTGAAGATCAAGAAGCCCAAGAAGCAGAGCTTCATGTGGTACTTGAACTGGGGTCTGGGGGTTTCCGGGATCGTTTTATCTGTGATCTTGATCGCTGCTGGGGTTTACGTGGTGATTGACACTGGCATTCAAGTGAGCTTCTTCAAGCCCACCTAGCTCTCTCTTTCTCCTCTTCACATCGATCTCTGTATATTGTTGAGCAGGTTCTCCTGCATGTTATAGTGATATGGATGCAACTAACTGATTATGTGACGACTCATAACTTGAATCCATCAGTTAAACCTGTTTCACACCACAATACATAATATCTATCACGACCTATGTGTAACTCAAAGTTAATTGAATGATTGCAATTTAGACGTCACTGTCAACCGTACTAAAAGCTTAAGCTATTAGATGAAGGCGTGATTTATTATTTAAATATTCTAATAGTCTCAAAAACAAATTATTCTTGTAAATTTGACAACGTCATTGGCTTAATCTACCTCATCAGCACTGGCCCGAAACTAGGTTCTTTACTCCATGCGATATCATATGAATTATTTTTTAGGTAATATTGTCCGAACATAATCTAAAAACAATCAGACACATCGCAGATGATACGATCAGACGCATGCATGTCCCAAAAGCAAATGATCCTCGTAAATTTGACTACGTCATCGGCTTAATCTACCGCATCGGCAATGGCCCGAATCCAGGCTAAACAATGTATCTGCCTTCCAGGTCAGCTAAGCTAAATACGTCGAAAAAGAATCTATGTGGATATTGTTCGCATCTTTCTTTGGTCATGGTTTGAAACGCAACCAACTTCGTTCGTGATTATTTTTTTCTGCAATTATTGCGCGTAGACGACGGACAAACGAGGTATAAGGTGTAGGTGGTACGTGCTCATAGCCAAAGTGGTCGTACGAGGAAAGATGGTAAAGGGAGTTGTTGGGGGAGGCCATTCACACTTTTAGAGATTTCGCAAAAAGAATGACAAAGCTAATTGCTCGGTTCCCACGAACAGAGCAAGCTATCGATACTGACATAAAAGGGAACCGCAAACTTGGCCGGAGCTCTCGCCGGAACTTGACCAACACCACAAAAACAGGGTCAAGGCCTCGAGCATTTGCACCCGGATTAGCCCTCCGATACTTTAGTCGGTATATGTATATAGAACTACACATCATATATGGGAGGGAGAGAGCGAGAACTTGAAAAGTAATTAAGCAGATAAAATGGCCAATCTCGTATTTGTGTATTTGAATCGCTATGTGTATAGATTACTCTTTCGGTGGCTTGTCGGGGTAAAACTTAACGGGTTGTGATAAGTGGACGAGATGGCTTGACAAGTGACATCCGTGCCTCCTTTAGAGGTGGATGCATGTCTAGCCTTTCGAACGGTAATCGGACTGTCCCTCCTTCAATGAGGTGATCTTAAAGTGATGTCTTGTCAAGAGCCGTCAGTAAGGCAGCTCGGGCCCGTCGATATCGGGTTTTAAATGGGTCTTCCCATCGGGATTGTGCTACTAGCACGTGTTAGGAGTGGCCAGCCAAAATCCATCCCTATGGATTTCCAAACCAATAATGCTAATGCTAAATAAAGTGCATCTACCGGGCAAAAATTTAGGAAGCTGCCTAGAAAATCGACCGATGAGAGATCAATTCTTTTTTAGGTTTTCCTTTCCCTTCTCTCTTTCCACGTCCATGGTGCCGAGGCAATTTCTAATCCATTGCTTTTCGGGAGAACGACCAGACATATATTCGTACCATCACTATCTAGACCAACCCTTGAGACTTTAAAAAAAGACATGCAAGAAAGCTTGCGACGAAAGCAAACCCCACGACAAAAATCGTGCATGTAGGAACGCACCCTTTATTTGGTGCCACTAAAATACTCAATTGGACGATGCAACTACTGATTAAGACACCCATCTCCTTCCTCGAAAACACTCCTTTTGTTTTCATGAATGGAACATTTGGAGTTTCAGTCCCTAAAAGAAGGTCACTCTAAGATCAATAATGTCATCGTCCAATGTCCCTTGTTTTTTAATTAGACAACATCTAGATTAATGTAATGTCGTGTGTCATGTTACAAGCAATTTCACGTAAGAACTTTACGAGCATTAGAAGATATAGCTTTAGAACATCACAGTGGACATAGGGAAAATTATCAAAATAGTCTTAAATTTATTGCAATTGTGCCAATTCGATCCTAAACCTTTTTTGGGCCAATTAAGTCATGAACCGTTTGTATTTGTGTCAATTTATTTGGCTAGAAATCGTTGGTATGGACGTCGGCCGTCCTACGTGGCGCAACAGGCGCTGACGCGGATATTTTTAAATAATACTCTACTAATTTTTCAAATTATTTATGTATTTTTTTTATTTCTTCTTTTCTTTTTCCTTTTTTTCATTTCTTTCTCTTTTCTTTTCCTTCCCTTCTTCCTCTAGCCGGTCGCCAGATCTCGGTGACTAGCCAGAGGCGAGGGCGGGAGAGCTCGAAAGGCTCGCCATCCCCGGATTTGGCAAGGGCGAGCCTAGCCCCAGTGATGGAAAAGTCGACCTCGCCTACCCACGCCTTTGGCTGGTCGCTGAGGTCTGGAAACCGGCTAGAGGAAGAATGGAAGTAAAGAAAGAGAAAAAGAAAGAAAAAAAATAAAAAAAAATTCGAAAAATTATTAAAATAATTTAAAAATGACATGTAAGAAAGCTAGCTATAAAAGCAAACCCACGACAAAAATCGTGCATGTAGGAACACACCCTTTATTTAGTGCCACTAAAATACTCAATTGGACGATGCAACTATTGATTAAGACACCCATCTCCTTCCCCGAAAACACTCCTTTTGTTTTCATGAAGGAAACATTTGGAGTTTCAGTCGCTAAACGCCGGTCCCTCTATGATCAATAATGCCATCGTCCAATGCCCTTTGTTATTTAATTAGACAACATCTAGATTAATGTAATGCTGTGTGTCCTGTCATAAGCGATTCCATGTAAGAAGAACTTTACGGGCATTAAAATATGGGTTTTGCTAGCATAACAGTCTTTAGGCTGCTGTGAAAGTAACAACATATTATAAGCCGCAAATTCTTGAAAAAGTGTACCTCGCAACAATTAATTATTTTTTTGTGGTCCAAGAACATACTGTTAATCTCGTTGTAGATTAAGGACTGTCAATTAATTAGATCTATTACAAGATATAACTTTAGAACATCACAATTGATATATAGGCGATCGATTGAAGCCAAAACAGCGGTGAACAAAGTAGGAAAGGAAAGAATATGTTTGCGCATGATCAGTTAGGAGGACAAATTAAAAAAGGGGAAGGGGGGGGGGGGGCGGGGGTGAGGGGGGCAAGAAGGATCGAGGAAATTGGTGAGACAATAGCCATTTTGTGAACTTTTTCTTGAATTCAGATGTGGAAGTCTAGATGACTCAAACCTAATCACAATCTTCCCATGCAATCCCATTAAGTTCATATAAATAGTAATTTCTACGTACAAGTAAGTTTCTCTTTGGTCAATCTTTCCTTCTCATCTAGTTATAAGCTCATTGTTGTACCTATGCTCTTCCATACTGATGGATTTTCTTTTTGTTGTTTGGCCGCCCATGATGGGCTAACCCAGCCCATGAAAGAAAGTAACTGCACTTGGCAATTATTATTTAGAAACAAAAGTGAGAACACACGTAAGAGTGTGTGTGGGTTGCATTTTAATCATCAGAAAACTCATTCTCACTAAAGGACAAAGAAGAAGGAACTTTGTTCAACAATCTAAGGATTGTTCTCTCTCTCGAGGCTGCGATAAGTGCATTTAATCTGTGGCAAAGAGGTATGTTCGTTTACGTGATATACTTCGAACGATCAGTGATTCAAGTATAGAATGGGCACGTTTTTCCGCAATTTTTATATTATGTTTAGGAATCTGTTTCCTTCATTGGTATCAGAGCCATGTGTTCTTGTTTTCTGATCGTTTAATATGCTTATTACACGGATTGATGGCCGAAATTCGTGAAACGGCGCCGACGAACGCTCGGGTACGAAAACCGACACCGACCGTACTGTTCGGGATCGTTTCTCGAAATTCCGTGCGATAAATTTTATTTTTGAAGGCATAGGGTCGTAGTGCTCGTCGATACGAGCAAAATGACGGGTGACACTCCGCCGGGGGGAGCCGCACGCGCCCACACGCGCCGCCGCAAGTGGCGGTCTCGCCGGCACGTGCGTGGCACGTGCGTGGCACGTGCGTGGCGGTTCCTCCCCGCGCGCGTGCACCGCACGCGCCATGAGGGCGTGTGCGGCATGGCTGACGTCACGCTGACGTCAGCCATGCGGTTGCCCAATCGGGTTTTCTCAGACTCGACCCGACCCGGATCCGACTTGACCCGATAGTCCACCCGACCCGTAGACTTGACCCGTTGACCATTGACCGGCGTTGACCACCGTTGACCTTCGTTGACCGGCGTTGACCGGGAAAAAAAAAAAAAAAAGGCAGAAGGGTTAGAATGTGTTTCTTGAAATGTTGTACCTTGGATTATGAGTAATCCTTTCATTTTTTCTGCATTTGTTGCAGGAATAATGGTACGAAGATATCGAACCCCTATTATCCCTAGAACGGCGGCTCAAAAGAAGAAGTTTGAGAAACTAAGAATCAAGCTGGCTCTTTACCGGTGGGATGCTGATGATGACATGATGACACACATCATCAAGGTCAACCAAATGATACAAGATATCATTTGGAATGGTTTCGTAATGCCAGGGTATGTGATGGTCGGAGCCCTCAAATGCACCATTCCTGATGAGTTGGGAAGAATGATTGATAGGGTTTGGGACGCCTTAGAAGGTTCGAGCTATAAGATGATTGTGGAGCAATTCATGATAGAGTACATACAGGTCGGGGCAAGAAGGACGTCAACCCTTGCATTGAATCGGTCTCGGCGCAATACGTTGCCCGAATCTAGGGGTTTTTCGGGTGCCTCCATTTGGATGCCAAAGAAAATAGAATTTCCTGAGGATTTTCATGAGTCATTTCCGGTTTATAATAAGAAGATCACCACCTGATTGTGTTTATCTATTTTTCGTAAGCTCTTATGGATATGTTCACTATAGGTTGGTGTTAAATATCTTGGGTGGATAGTTCTTTTTATGTTGGTATTTATGTTTATTTCCTTAGATGGATTCATTCCTTATGTACATAGTATTAGGTAAATGAATGTTGACGGGTATTTTCTGTTATGAATAGTTTATGGTGCTATTATTTTATAATA